GTAAACTGAAGTGGAAAATCAATTTGTGTCTAAATAATAATAAAGAAAGAAACGAAAATAAAATAAGACAAAGATGTTTAAATCGAAAGTGATGTGTCAAAGTAGGTCATTTTTTAGTATCAAATAAATTTGTTGCCATAGAAACGTTACATATGAATTGAAATGTTTATCAGCAATAAAATGACATTTAACCTAGCCTGAATACCGTAAACATAATTATTATGTTACAAATCGCATGGTTTAAATGCTTTCATCAATTTGCAATTGAATCTTAAGTATTTATCTTCATTATACGCTTCATTTTATTTATATGTATACAAAGGAAACCATAATTAATATAATATAAATGACAACAAAGTAACGCTTTTGTTTTCCATGAATCATTATGAGAGTTGTTATCAACGCTAAGACTTTAATTACAAGTGAATTAAATTGCATTTTATAAAAAAAATCATTCAAAACCTTACTAGAATATACAAATAATAACATTTATTCAAATTAAAACAAAAGTAGTACAACTGTTTTTTTTTTCTCAATCCAAACTCGTTTTGCATAATTGACAGAAAAAAATAACCAACATAAACTCTTTTTTATTCGTATTTGTTTTCATCTCTGTTTTCGTTGCAAAACAAATGTAAGTTACTACAACAAGACAAATGAATTATTGTCAACAGCAAAAAAAAATACTTGAAATGTTTTCTGGTTGTGACCTCAACACCATTTTACCTGAATCGAGGATCCACAACAAAATTGTTCAATTTATTGGCAATAAATGCATGTAACTTCGAATCGCATTCTATCTAGAATCTTTATAGCCCCAAAAGATGTGGGGAAAATATCTTTTCCAGTCCCATATAAACTTGTTTAATGTAGCTTGATTTGAGCCAAACAAATATATTTAGATTTAAAAGAAAACATAAAATATTTAACGAATTGTTATTTTATAGCAAATATTTAGGCTTCTCATAAAATATACTGAGACATGTGTATACAGGTATCCTGCGACTTACGAACTAGTTCCAAAGGGTTGTTCGTAAGTAAAAAAATAGATTAAAATAAACAAAATACATACTTTCAAATACTTTTCAATGTAGACCTCACAATTATTTAATAAAAAAACAACAAAAGAAACAAATGCTACAAATCAGATAGTACATCTTCCAAAAATATTATTTTTATTAAAGAAATTATCAATTTTTGTTTGGATAGTTAATTTTGTATCACTATATATCTCCTTGTAACAAGTTAGAGCTTTTACAATTTTGTTCTTAAGTCCGGAAGTTTGAAAGTCGGGGGATACCTGTATTTGACAATATAACTTATTAAAAAATTATTGTTTAAATATATTTAAAAATTAAATATTTGAAACTTGAAGATATTTCAAAATATTAGAACATAACCTATTGACAACTGATGTCTTGAAACATTTTGATAACATAATGGATTGTAATTATCTTGACGAAAGATTCAAACCTGATAACTTCACAATATGATGAAGTTAAATGAAATTTTGGCCGTTTGAAAAAGATCAAATTATATATTTGATACCGGGCGCATGATTTCCTTGCTGTGGTCTTGTATTTACCACTTAAAGGTAAAAAATTATAACATATTAACAATTGATATTTGACAATCTATTATCTTCGATTTAAAACTATAGAAAGTAAGAATACATTAGTTTTATTTTCGAAATCATTTAAAGCTTAGGTTTTACAGACTGAGGCAGATATTTTATAAATTCACGTTATCAATAGTATAAAATCTTTATTCAATATCTAAACATATAAAATTAAATATACTTTTATCAATATTTCACATTGCAATCTATTAGAAAGCGACCCACACTTTGAGAATCATTGCTTCTTTAATCATTAAAATAATGAATATCTCCATTTTTACATATAATATTTCATTTGTTTTAAAAGTCAATATGCTTTTATATATAATTTTAACTTATTTTTGTTTTTAATATTAGCATAATAAAATTTCATATAAAATTAATTATTTTCCCATATTTTATTTAAATTTTCAACTATAAAAATTAATGGTTAATGCCAAATTATGAACATATGTTTCACGTAATTGCAAATACGTGCTCATTAGATGCAGTCATTAAATTTAATTAATCTATTTTCACTTGACATTGACATTTGCTGAAAATATCTCATTAAATAATCAATACTAATGCATTCAAATAGTAATTTTTTTTTTTTTGTAAATGCACTTTATTTACAAATTAATTTGATAGTTTCAAGCTTATAACAATAGCATTTACGGAAAATTGTTGATGTATTAGTTATATTTTTTTTATAATGTCCTGTAGCGTTTTGGTTAACGTGACATTCGAATTATTAACTTTTCCGGAGCGAAAAGTAAATTGACGTTAAAGTGGTTAGTCGTAACAAGCTAGACGTAATTTCCACTCGTATTCTTTGACCGAACCTTCTTGAATGGCCGATAATTTCACTCGAGAGAAGTAAAGAAAATATGTATATATACATACGAACGGACAAAAAAAATAATTGCTTCCTTCATTCTTCATATGGAACTTTCTTTTTACAAATTACATTGCTTGTTAATAAATCAACTATTGTCCACTTTTTTTTGCATGTTGATGGTTTAATTATATTTCATCGAAATTGTATTAATTATTATAAGACATAATTATTTAAGTAATTTAATTAATTATATGTTTTAAGTTGACATGTACATTTTACACGTTTAAATATTTACAAATTCAATTATATCCAACATTTTAGAACTATGATATATTTCATTTACATATATCCAAGGACAATTAGTATGATTATAACAGAAGATTTATTCTTACGTATAATTATTTATCTTTTCAATTGTATGAATACATCAATAACGTTATGAAACTAAGGAACTTTCAGTTTGACGTTTATGTCAAATTTACATGGTTATGTTACATTGGGTCAATAATAGTAATTGTTATTAATTAATATTTATAATTACATTTTACTTTAATTACATTAAATATTATGAAGTATTAGAAATCTTTTTCATTATCTAAACCAGTGATTTTCAAAATGTGTGTCGCGTAAAATATTTGGGTGGTCACATACCCATTCTTCGGGGGGTCGCAGAAACTTGTTATGTTCAAAAAAAGGGGTGGGGGGCAAAAAGTTTGAGTATCACTGGTCTAAAACCTATTGAATAGTTTTCATTTTGTAGAGATCTGTCAATCTAACGCCGCAATTTTATTTTAACATGTTAACATATCTAATTTATATTCTTCCTAGGTTTCTCCAAGAATCTAAGCTTGGAACCCAGTTCGAAATATGTTTTATATTTGTGTTCGAATCGTACTCTTACCTGTTTTTACCTGTCTTGCCAGTATCTCTCTTATGTATGTATTTTAATGAAGTTATTCTAAATTTGGTCTAGCAGTTTAAGGAAGTTAGAAAAAGCTGATTATTTTATTTATTTGAGTTGAAGAAGAAAGTTTAAGTTTTTTTTTTATTAAACAGACAGTGGCTGGCTTGTTCGCGTAATGCGGAAGCATAATGATGAAAAAAAACTTCTGTTGATTAGTATTATTATAACATACGATATTGTCAGTAAACATAACCATTTATTCATAATTAATGCAAATATTATAAGTTACTTATTTTGTAGAATTTAAAACAATTTAAATTTACTTGATACATTATTTGTACTAAATCAGTAAAAATAATTATTATAATAATCGATTGTGATTGAACTAATTTTCTTTATTGTGTATATTATAAAAGAATGTGAACGAGAGTATTGCAATAATAACTTATCAACTTCAAGTGGAGATGATAACAAATAAAAATACGTGTTTTCAGTAAATTAAAAACAAACAGCAAAGTCGCGTGACGAAACGGAAAATCTTATCAAGTCCACAACAGCTGTTTTTACATAACACCAAGATTTCATTCCAACTATTATCGTTATCATACGGTTGACAGCGTGGAAACAATTTTCGGTATGCTTTTTTATTATAATGAATTGAGAAGATTGCTTTGATTATTATTATAAATTTGATTAAGCAGACAAACAAAACGTATACACGGATGGAATATAATTTGCATACTAAATACTTCTTTAACCTACGCTTTTACAAATATTGTGTATTATGTATTTGTATTGTAACATTCTGCAAATGTTTCATTCGTAATGCTTGAACACATCCATAATTGAGAATATCGACCTTTATCGTTCATTGAGATTCGGCGATGTAGCATTGAAATTATTTGATTCTTAATTAAAGTGCGTTCCGATCAAACGGAAAATCGTTTCTTGTTTCTTTCTTGTTCGTGGTCAGTGAAAAATAGCAAAAGCGTATTAGAATAATCCGCTTACGCCGCAGAATCGGTCGTTCGTTTGCTCGTGTTATATAAATTGCTGGTTTACAACACATTCGGAAGAGTTCTCAACTTCCATTTATCATCGCTCCATTATTTATCAGCACTCCAAATTGATTGCCGTGAACATCAGATTTGTTCGACCGATTAAACGTTTCCAAGCCGAGCATTACATCCACTTTCATAAAAAAACAACAAAAAACATAAAAAATATTATATCAAAACCCTTAACGCTTTCAACCAACAATTTCTTGAATATAAAATCTGATGAGATCACGCATGTATTGAATATGAAAAGGTATGATTAAATTTATAAACTAAGTAATTGGAAGCCAAAACGTCTGCTGTGGTTTCGAATTTATAATGGTCCACATATTGAATTCGTTTTGCATAGATTACGGCGCACGGTAATAAGTTTTACGAATGTTGCATAATTCATCAAATCTCGAGTCCAATCAACTTCGAGACGCGGTTAATTTCCATTGCTCGAGATCGCGCAACGTCAGTGCAAATGCCAAAAAAAGACATCTAAAGTCAAAATAGTGGTATAATAATTGTACGATACTTACAATAGTATTCTGGTATCCCAATCCATACTTCTCGTTGTCTTTGCCGTCCGTGCGTAGTTCATCCATTTTCGCATCTACTTCAGTACAAAAACTCTTGGGAAGAAAGAATTAAACGAAACTCGAAGATTTGGAACTCTCACTCGTAATAAGTTATGAATTAATAAAAAACACAGCACAATCACTCACATACACGAATCCCCGCTGCGTTCTCTTATTGTCTTTTTGCATTTACCTCATGGCTCTAATTGGTTACACTAATTGTTCTTCCAAATTCTCGACCAGTCTCCACTCTCATTTTAATCGAATTTGCGTCGAGACAAAAAAATAATAATAATAACAATAAATATATAGAAACGTCGATTGTGCGTGCGATTATGTGAAAAGTTCTCTGCTATCGTCAAAACGGATTTAATTTACATTCATCCATTAAGTAAACATACAAGTAAGTCTTCTAGAACATTGGCTTATCATAAACTTACTTTGCACAAACATAGGCATTCATCTATTTAACTACACTTTGGAGAACCGATAGCAATGTACTATAAAAATGAATGAAACATTGTTTAGAAAATCGTTCATCTTCAATATTTTTTTGAATAGTGGATCACAGGGACAGCAAATTTTGTTATTTGTCATGAGCGTGGAGCGAGGTGCTGTTACATCTTTGAAGTCACAGTGTAAATTTTAAATTTTGATGAATAACAATAATTGTAGTAGTTGTAGTAGAAAATGTTCAACAGCGATCGCGTCTCGTTTGTTGGATCCACGCAGCGAACATAGCTGTTTCGCGGCCACTTCAAAACTGAACGGAATTCGTCATGCGGCCGTTGATAAACTCTCCTCGCACATTCTGAAATAGATATTTAATATTATAAAAAAATATAATAACATTTCTAGTTCATTCAAAAGCCTTCAAAGCTTTCTTCACATCCATTCAGCAAAATTATTTCAATTATTTTTTATTATTATTTCATAATAGCTTTTGAATGAACGTAATTTGTTCATAATTGTTATTGCAAATCATGACTCAAGTTAGTTACATTTTTATCACATAATAAAATTACATTTACTTTCCTTCATTGAAACATATTCCAATAGTTTCTGATTGTTATAATTTATATAATTAAATTAATTTGATGTTCACTTTAGATTTTGTATAAACTTTGGTCATTGTTATTGAAAAAACATGCATCGATCTAGTAAAAAAAAGTTATTAACATCAGAATCGATTTCTTTCGTTAATATTTATATAAATCATTGCTGATTGTTATAAGTAAATTAAATCTTGTTAACTTATAGAATGAACATAAATTAAAATAATTGTTATTGAGAAGTATACCTCAAACTAGTTACATATTTGCAACGCAATAAAATTGATGATGGACCTTACACTTTTATTAAAATTATTTGTTACGTTTTCGATATTGAAATTCCTATTTCTGACTACTCAATATTACTTAACAGAAAGTACTAATTCTATTATAATTACATCATGTATTAGTAATTATGAAACACCATTGTTTTACAATTGCAAACTCGATATTTCTTAAGCTTATTTCAATTATTTCACTAATTAATTATATACATTTTTTATTAAAAAAAAACAATGTTCTTATTTTGAAACTAATTAAATTATATAAGATTAAATAAATACCCTTTCTTTTATTGTTGTTTATATAATAGTTCATTAATGAATTGGTACATTTAGTGATAATGCTAACAATTGTTACTCTAGCAAATCGTATCCATTAAAATTTGGCAACATTAATCCGCGACGCACGGTATGAATAAATTTCTATTGATTGAAAGATTTGTTATTACTACTCAATATTTAACACTATTGGTTATAATTATTAAATAAATTAATAATATTACTAGTACTTTCAAAAATTTTACTTGAATTCCAAATATAATTATATAAAGTAAATGGACTTATTTGTTTTTAACTCTTTTGCTGTTATCGAATATACTTTGATATATTTTCTAAGAGTTACATTCTCCTCCTAAGTTAGTAATTAGGAAGACAGAGCTCTTCCTTCGGCCCTCCAACTAAAACTATCTTCGTTCGGCTCCCTAACTAGGTCTATCTTCTTCGTTGGACCCTCTAACTAAGAATATAATACATAAATAATAATAATTATACATTATCTATATTTCATTTATTTGTATTTTCTGTGTAATGAACTCAAATTTTATGTTAATTATGTCTCATATAAGTAAAAAAATATTATAAACGAAAAAATAATTAACGTTTGGTCAGTATAAACAAGAATGATATCATACTGGATTGAAGCAGAATAAATCAAAAAAGTAATTTGGGGTCAGTGTACACTAATATTGAAGGGAATCAACCGGTTTTTAGAGTCAAACTTTTTCATGTCAGAGCTAAATTGAAGAGGCCTAAAGACGCTGCTGCTAAATACATTACAGCGAAATCATAAATTTAGTTGATGAAGACTGTTAAATCAGGATATCTGATTATTATAAAAATAATGAACACGAGTTTTTTTACTTTACATATAAATAACAATTTAATACAATTGCTCTTATTGTATTTTTTGTAAAGAATCGAGATAATTATAATAATTTCTTTAGAAACTGTAACTTTTCTTAATTTCTGAGTGAATTGTTACTTCTTTTTCTCTAGATTAGTGATATTTCAATTTAATTTATTTTATATAACATTTAAATTTTTAATGTTTCAAATACAAAATAGAGATAAAATGGCGTATAGTTATAACAAAACAGATGTTTTCAATAAAAATGGCAATTGTCAATCATTGAAACGTGCTTTCCATGGTTTTAAATACGAATAAGTTCAAAATGTTGATGAAAATTACCGTTTTGTCTCAATCCACTGCAATATTTTTTATTCTACGAATTACTCGAGGTAATCGCAAAACCAGGAACACAATACTAAAATTCAAGGTCTCTGATTTATGGCGCAATCATCAGTGATATAATATATATATATATAAAGAAAACGTGATCAGTAAAATAAAACTTGAGTTAAACGTTTTTATTTTTGTTTGTTTTTTTATTAATTTATGTTTGTGTGTGGTATTACTATTTCTTTATAAATTGAATCAGACAGTTATGTTTGTATGTTAATAAAGGAATTTTAATATAAAAATAAAACTAGAACGTACAATTTGGAAAGTCCATACAGATTTCCATCCAAAACCATGTGAGATGAATCAGTTATTATTGCAATAAAGTAAGTCTTTTTTTTTTTCTGTATTTACCGATTAATCAAAATCACAGAAACGTTTTCTCCTGGAAATGCCCATTCTGTAGTGCGAAGTGGTCAACAAGTGGTATAAACTGGTAGAAAAAGGAGTAAGCGAATGAATAATAAAAAGGAAAACAAGATACTAGCTTATTTTTGTTGTGCCGTCTCCATCCCATTTATATGTCGTCTATGTGTTTTGTTCTGAAACTCTTTGGACGACGTCCAAAAAGTCTTCCTGGGAGACACTATTTTAATTGTACTTTCACATCACCGACATTTCATTTATTTATAAACCAGTCTACGTACAAATTTTCTCAGACTTTATATCGTTTATTATGTAGATACACACAAGTGTTTGATCGAAATAAAAATGTATTTTTATTATGCACGATTTTATTACAAAAGTTTGTTGATACAAACTGATTTACGAGAGTCTGTACTCTATCGATTATTGCTTCGAATAGGGCAAGTGCATGAAGTGAACTGAGAGGTTGCACTTAAACAGCAAATCCTGGCATTGGTGCAATTCATAAAATCTATGTCCACTGTTACGCAACGAATAATATATGTACAACTACATTTTTATTTCGTTCGATGAATAAATAATTTATTTACAAATCAATTGAAACCAGCGACTGGGGCTTTCTTGAGTAATTCGTCCAAAACTGCCGGTAGTAACGATAAAAACTTAAACCTCGAGCCCATTTTATCCTGATCGGTCATCATATGGAACGAGGACCATAGAATTTTTTTTTGTTCTTCGTCCAAGTTCTCTTCCAACTTCTTAACCCTGTGCTCGATTCCCATATTCAGCAAGAATTTATTTTGCGTTATTGGTCCAAACGCCAACACTTTGCCTTCCTCCGTGGCGGCCTACAACAATCGAATTAAGAGTTTAAATCATAAAACGTTTTACAATTTAATTAATTAAAATTAAATCTATAAGACTAATTAAAATGGTGATTATACATTAAAAGAAAAACAAACCTTTCTGAGAGCTGAAAAGTCAACATCCGCTGTCAAATCAGCATTGCCTGCATCTACCAGCGGATCGTGAAGTTGGTGTTTTTTGAACGCTCGGAAAGTATCTGTTCCAGTGCCATCGTGACCGTAATCCGCAATCAATCCCATACCTCCGTCTTCCTCGAAACGCGAGGCCAAATCTTTAACCAATACCAAACTCTCCGGGCTCACCTCGATATGTTCTCTGGTATCAGAAGCATCTGCGAATAATTTCGAAGCCGGAGTCTCGTCTCTAGCTATAATGTATCTAAATTCCAAATCCTTCTCACGATTTATATCGATTAAGATTTCTCTAAATCCTTTATCGGTTTTTTGAAATTTGTGAATCGGTAAAGCGTCAAAGAACTCATGAGCTACAAGTAAAGTGAACATTTTTGGAACATCCTGTATATTCCGATACCATTTTATGGGAGCTCCTAAAATGATTTTATTATAATAATTGCTTTGCAATAAGATTGTTTTACCTTGTAACGTGACACCTTCTCGATAGAACGGCTGTTGCTGATCATGAATTGCATTCGAATTTAAACACAGTCGTCTCGCTTGAGTATCACTCAAAAACGGACTCATTTCCACTAAACTTACACTCGCCGACTTCAAAGCGCCGAAATGATCGAAAACTCTCAGTACATCTTGACAGAGGCTTCCTCTTCCTGGTCCTAACTCAACAATCTGAAAGTAAGTCAATCAGTTTAACTAACTACTAAATATCTTAAAAGTTTACTTGAAATGGTTTTGGGGAGCCAACTTTTGACCACTCATTTAGTAACCACACCGCCACCATCTCCCCAAACACTTGACCCAACTCAGGGGAAGTTACGAAATCTCCACCAGCTCCAAACACATCTTTGTGCATGTAATAACCACCTGTAATACAAACATTTATGTCAATAATCAACATTTAGATACAAATATATATTAAAAAGTTTAATATGTATATTTATAAATGCTTTATAAATTCAAATATTAGTAAAATTATATATGCTTATAAATTTAATCATTCTAAATTTATTTTAAAATTTATAAGAAAGAGCACAATTGGTTGCCTATTTGAAAATCTTTAAATAACACAAATTATTAATAAGACATATGTATTCGAAACTTTCATTAATTTCCATGAAATAATCAACTTACCCATTGGATGTATGAGAACTTTCTTCATGTATTCTGCAACTGTAATTGGTCCTGTGGCTTTAATTTGCATCTGAATATCTTTGGCAATAACATCCTGCTGTTTGTTTACGGCATTAGAATTGACCGTGTAGTATTTACGAATACTCCTGGGGAATTCCCGGCGCAATCGATTTAAAAACATTTTTTTAAATAGATAATTCTACACTAAGGACGTAAACATGTGTTATAACATTTGAACTACTGATCTGACAGTATTATTTGAACTAATTCCATGTAGTTATAATGGTTATGTAAATAATTTGATTTATTTATTTATTAGCTTTTTCCATAATAATAAATCATCAATTTTTAAAGGCTTGAGACCTAAGTCTAATTTAGTTGAAGCTAAAATATCAAAGATGTAAGTGAACTATTTTACCTTATTTTGTTTTGAACCAGTGTCAAAAATAAAATTACAAATATTTTCTGTTCCTTCAAGATTCTTCCGATAAGAACAACAAAATTTAAAAAAAAGTGAGAAATGTGGCCAGTACTATTAAGGGCTATGAGAGTGTATGCTCCTTATATAACATTACCCTTTGCTGCTGTTGTTGGTTATATAGGTTACCATGTGGAGAACAAAGTTAGTGATAAATATACACCCTATAGTGGTAAGGATTTTTTTATATAACTAAAGATTTTGAGTATATTACTAATTATAGATGTGAAAACAGTTGATTAACTCATTGTTTCATCTTTTTCAAGCTCCCATAAAAGACTCGAGGAATGAAAGGTTACTCTCTGAAGATTCCTTGCAATCAGCAACTGAAGTAGAAAAGTTGAAATATAGTGCAAATGTTTTAGGAAGAAATATCTCTCCTAGTCTGAAGGAATAATACAGTCAATTTTAGATCAATTTTAAAATTATTATTGTATTGTGTGAAATTGTAGAATTTTTATTTAAAAATAAATAACTTAATAAAATTTGCATATTTTTTTCATTAATTATGTCACAGTTTATAATTTATATTTAAAGAGTCATCACTTATAAAGTTATAAATGTAATTTTAATTACAAGTACAGTGGAACCTCGCTTAACGAGCAAAATAAATTGTAAGCCATTTTGGCTTACAAAATGGAACGCGTTATCCTGTATTACATTAGATTATATGGGGAAAATTGTTTTACTATACGAGTAAAAATCCGGAAATTTTGGAACGAATTATGCTCGTTAAGCGAGGTTCCACTGTATTGTGTTACAATGAAAATGTATTCAATAATATACATTGAAAAATAATACATTAATTAAAATACAAGATTTAATATATCCAAAGTTCGCTTAGCATATCGAACGTACGATAATCGAATATACAGTAAGATAGGTTCCTTAAGGGGGATAATAAGAAACATGACATCTACTGAGGGCGTACAATCTAAAATACATTAAATGGATGTACGTTAACTGCGCTCTTACTGTATATATTATTTTTTATTCTTCATGAAAATAAAATGTATTTATTGACTTTTTAAATAGTCATTAAATATACATTTTTTTTTCATACATCGATGAAACGTGCGATTGTAAAATAAATGTTCACATGTGATATTGCATTTTATATATTTAAATTTCCTTTTATTGAGCTTAAGTTTCTCTGTTGGAATTTCATTGCAATATAATTGAAGTTGCTGCAGCAGTGAGGAAAAGTAGCATCATATTGGTGAGCATAGTATAGAATCAATATATGAGTGTGGGTCAATATATATTGGAATTTGATGTATTTCAAATATTTAAAAATAAGTGAATAGAGATGAAATAAGAAATAATGAATACACGTTTAATTCAAATTTATTTCGAATCATAAAATAAAAGAGAATCATTGAATTTGGTTAAATAATATGTATAATAATAGTATACAAAAAGAGGGAAAAATCTAATTGGAAACAAACATTACATTTGACAATACATATGAATAATATAGTAATAATAGTTATTACTTATGTTTTTCTTATGTTTATATATGTTTATTAAATAAAACTTACATTTAAAAAATCACAGATAATATGTATATATATTTTATATATATATAGATTTCAATTATTAAACTTTAGTCAAATACACAGATTCCTATACATTGATAGAAACAATACTTGAGTGAGAGAAACCTATAAGGAAAGAGTTTAAAGTAGTTGAAACGACTAGTATTTAGTATATAGTATTTGTTGTTTTATAAGTTAACAATACATTTAATAATACTATTGGTATTTCTTCTTCTTTTTTTTTCAAAACTTTGGAGCAAGCAGGTCGGCCTACGTAATATGAATATATCATCCTTTATGGTTAGCGGCCGACTACTTGCTCCTTATAGCTACTTAAAGAAATCATCTGCGTTTAAATACACGCTGCCTACAAGAAGAGTTTTTGGGTGCTCGATTTTGGGAGTGCTTATATGGTAAGTACTAATAAGGAGTGGATTCTTGTGCTGCCCAAGGCCACTGGCGCGCCACCTCTTCAGTAGATCCACTGCATTCAGTCTTCTAGTTACACTGCAATAATTGCGCCAAATGATGGAATCGATTATGTACAATATTAAAATTGTGGCGGAGGCGGCTGAGCAGCTTGGGGCGGCAGCAGCTGCCCGCTCTTGTTACGGACAATGCTGCTGCTTCTTGGACTTCTTTAAAGATACATCCTCGACGTCGTCCCCCTTCTTGACCTCCGTATAGCGTTCGCCCTTCAAGCTTACGATCTTGTTATCCCTGTAACGTACCAATTTCTTGGGTTCCACCTTCGGAGCGACCGGACGGTGCTCACGTGCCAATGCGTCCTGATCGATGTACGAGTATCTCTCGATAATCCTATTCTTCAATTCGTTATCGTCGATGACAGGCGCCTTACTAGAGGAAATGTGCAGCGTCAAAGAGCTATTATTAGTTATCGATTGACCGTGTTCTTGACGATGGAGCAGAATTTGTGTTCCTCGCTCCAGATCCCCGGACGCTATGGTCAAGCAGTGCTTGATCTGTAACGACCTCAGGTAAATAAAAAGGAGTAAATTGATATCACATCGAATACCTCTAGTGCACAAACGTGCGGAAACATGTCTTGCAGCGTATCGATCTCCTCGGTAAAATCACAAAATGAAGAATCCGAACCGCCGTCGCTCACCTCGGATATTTTATGCACCCTTTTCGGTTCCTCGCAACTTTCGGAATTGTTGTGAGATCGTGGTTTTGCTATCGGCAGAATCTCTGGCAGAGATAGCTCCAGTAACGAAATATCTTTATCCTGCGGTTCGTCTGCTCTGAGTTTGGCTTCCAGTTCGAACATCCAATTGCATACGGTCGCATGATTAATCGACTCGAACTCGGGAAAATATGCAGACATCATCTCGCAAAAACCTTCAATTATTATACACGTTAGATACAAATCACAAAGCTCCTCGTTCGTTGTTCTGAACCTTCTACATCGAAGACCGGATCCGAGCTAACGTCTTCCAAAATTGCCACTACGTATGAAAGGACAATTTCGTCTATTAGCGTCAAATCCGCATCCGGTATGTTCGTCTTAACGAATTCGAATAGAGAATCTTTAATTATTATTTCTTGGTCTGCGATGTTCTTCTTCGTAGACATTCTGCAATTGTTCGTACTTTTAATATATTGAACCCTGCAATCAAAACTACTTATTAATAATCCGAAAATAATCGATTATCGAGATGTATGACTCAATACCTACATGTCCTCATGCGTTTCAAAAAAATAGTTAATTTCCTTATGCTTTTCCATACTAATTACAATTATGATTGAAACTTATTTTATTTTCATCACACTAATTTTATTAAAAAAAATATAAATGTTAATAGCAACTTTTTAATATTATGACATGCTATAATATGTAAAGCTGCAAATTTAGAATTATTATACTTTAAGCATCATAAGATAATATAGAAAAATGGTTTTATAAAATCTTGATGTAAGACGGATATTAATGAAGATAGGTCAAGAACAGTTTTCTCAGAAAATATAGCTGTCAGATAGAAGGTGGACATATTGAAATATATGATCCATTATTGCACATCCATGCATTTATGATGTTTGCATCATGAAAACGTTATGATAGCAATAAATACAGAAGACGTTGAGAGATTTATGATTCTAAACAAAATGTATGTTTATCTCTGCAACTGGTATTCGTTCAATTGCAAGAAAAAAATCAATAAATAAGCTCATTTAAATTGACAATTTGCGGAAATGCTAAATAGGTCTCAAATAAAATACGTATTGATTAGTTCTATAAACTGAAACTTTAGGCAACTTGCATATATTTAATTCAATTAATAATATATAATAAATATCATAATTTCTCTCTTTTGGACGTATTTAATTTAGAACGATTTTCGTAATATTTCAGTCAATAGGCGGAATGAATAAATAAATAACATGTACACTATAGGAAATGTATTTTGAAAATATTTTCAATAATAGTAATATTATCATATTACAATAGATTAATTTATAAATAACCAATTGTAATGCTATTGAATAATATTTTAAAAAAATTAAATAAAACAACATCAATTTCTACTTGGTAATAACTATATTGTATAAAAGCAGATACTAGAAAATAAATGTATAAAAAAAGCGGGTATTTGATTCTAAATAAGTACACAAAAAAATAATAATTAAATTATAACAATTGTAACATATAAATTTCAATATAAACAAAATCGTTATTAAACTTTTAGTGATGATACATTTGTAGGTATTAAAATGAAAACAATAAGCAGCTTTGGATGCCGGCAGGAATAGAATTACGCTGAAAACTGGGTTGGTTTGTGCAGAAACAATCGAAGGATGCGCCCTACGGGAAATTTCTGACGGGGAATTACCTGGTAATTGAAGCGACTCGAAGGAATATTTACGCGAGAGGATGGAGACGGAGCCTTTCTAAAACTGGACTCGTCTTAGCTCGAAAACATACAGACACAAACAACACACACAGCAGGAAAACCAAACACGGGCTACTATAGGGGGAACCTCTACTCCTTCGCGCAGCAACAATCAATAACAACAAAGACAACCCGCTGCAAAGTGCTCCTTTTTTCATCGTGCAGCTTTTCACGACGAAAGCTCGCTTCATGACCGATCCATTTTGTAGCTTCGCATCCCCAGCGGTAGATTGCACTAACTTTAGCCATATTCTAGGAGTAACATTTCAAATATTTCCAAGAAACACAATTTTTACCTTACATTCAATGATATACATTTTAGCTCAATGGCACTGAAAAATGAGCAGAAATGGGGTCGCAAAAATAATAAAATAAATGCATTTCAGTTCACAGCAATTTATCTAGAAACCATGAACTAACAAAAATATAAGAATTATATTTTTCACTCAAATATTTTAATAGATACTAAATAAACTTGAAAGTTATTTTGTTCTCCTTAATCTATTATTTATCGTTAACTAATGTAAATAAACAATTGGAGAAATAAATTATAATTGTAAGAGGAAACTTGAACTAATATATGAGAACTTCTGAAACAAGTTGATCCGATTTTCGCCTCTATGGTGAATACAAGGCATTCATTTCGCAGAAAGTAGTTTGTCTACCTGCTTGTACCTACTTCACCAATAGTAGACGGGCCCTTCAGTGTTCTGCCAGATGGGGAGATTTGCCTACCAAGCAAACTCCGCACAGCTGTGCGTATCGACTTTCTCATCTCGTGCTAGGAACTGAAAAAAAAAGAGACTCAGAAGCAACTCTGTCATCTTGCAAATAATACTGGGATTTCAGTTCATCGTGCACAATTTCTTCTATATTTCTAGAAATATATTCTGGTATTTTCATCAACAAAACATAAAAGTTAGTACATTTTAAATTCATAGAAATATTGAATTTGAAAAATATTGAAAATTTTCAAATGAACCCTGCAATGGAACCTGAGATATTCAGTGTGGAGAAAATCCTGAAGAAAAGAGACTACAATGGATTTGTGGAGTACTACTTGAAGTGGAATGGATATGATGAGAGCGAGAACACTTGGGAGCCAGAGTCAAACTTAAATTGCCCAGAGTTAATAAGAGAATTTGAGCAGGAGGAAAAATTAAGAGTTAATAGAATAGGTAAGTTCTATAATAATATTTCTATACATTAGTAATTATTTGTTTTTAGAAAGACTATTACTAAACCGGACTGCTCAACAATCTGGATTCCATATTAACTTGGAAGCTGAAAAAATCATTGGTGTTACCAACAGTTTAGGTATTACAATCATCAACTTATTTATATTATTATTCATATATATTGTATTTTATAGGCAAGTTAAAATATTTGATGAAATGGAAAGGAGTGGAAAAACCAGAGATTGTTTCATCAACTGAAGCTAACAAATACTGCCCAGAGATTGTGATACAGTTCTATGAAAGCATCCTCACCTGGACGAAACCTAACAGTACTAAGTAAAATTCATAACAAAATAAAAAAAATCGTGTTCCTAAAATAACTAAATACGTAAGCAAAATGTTAAAAAGTAATGAGAAAGAAAAGAGAAAACAAACTTTGTGATTTTAGAATTAATAATTTTATTATATGTTGTATAGTAAAAAGTAAATAAAACAGACGTTTGACTTTTATAAAGACATATTTTTTGTTTATTTAATTGCGGCTTTTGTGCAAGATACTCCTTTGCACGACATCAAAGTGTTTAAAATTTGATGGTATTTCTTGCTGATAATCTTGTGATGTACCCAAAGATTGGTCATTTCGTGCGGATCCGAGTCAAAATCATAATATTCTATGAAATCCTTAAATAAAAATAATGTCAAATAATAAATTTAGCAAATTTGTTGATTGCTCACTTCGTCATCGAAGAATCTACAAAATTTAATGTTTTCGATATTTGTTATCCTTCTTAAACATACGTAGGTGTTGTTACGAGAATCTTCGCATTTGCACCAATTATCTTGGTTGCATTCCTGTAAATAACTTGGACTAATATCTGTGGATACATGACATTTTTTATATGCTCACTGCTAAATTTGCGTTTCCAGCCCAAGGGCATTCATTATCCACGCTGTTAGCATTCCCTTCACCATGGTATTCAATTAAAATATTCTGTCGTGATCGATTGATTGTACGTTTCAACAAAATATCCTTCATACTTATTCCATCCATAGTCATGGGAATTTTGACATCAGCCAAGTCTAAAATAGTTGGAGCCAAATCCACAGTAGATGAAGGATCGTTAATCAAAGTTTTTCGGCTGATATTGGGACCTTTGATGAAGAAAGGTACTCTTATATCAGTTTCGTACGGTTGCCTTTTATCCCATGGTTGACTGAATTGACCTACAAGAGATTTCGAAAATTTGCTAAGTACTGCATAGATTCTTTACCAATATGGAATCCATTATCTGAAGTGAATATAAAATATGTGTTATTAAAAATATGCATGTCCATTAATTTTCTTGCAAGCTCATCTACTAATTCATCAACAGCTAATAGAGTTTGAAGGCGATGTCTTTGAATGTTATCCAATATATCCACATTTGAGGGTAAGTTAATTGGAGGAAGTTGCATCAACCAATGTTTCTATAAAGAGCTCATAAAAAGTCTGTTGACCTTATATCAGTTTCTTAATTACATGTATTGGCGTGGCATTGAAAGTTTGCGTTCTTTTGGCTTTAACTAACGGAAATTTAGTTTCGTGTCTTTTAGCTGCCGTGAAAGGGGCGTGTGCTGCAGGTGGAGCTATCATCATAAAGAAAGGCATATCTTTATGGACGTGATTCAGAAAATCAAGAGCGTAATTTTTCTAAAATTTGAATGTTAATTAGAAGTATGATTAAGAAGTAAATCATATATTACAATAACATCTGTTAGGTATTGATCTTTTTCAAATTTTTTCGCCGTTCCATTTATAGATAGTTCATAATCGTAATATTTCGAGTTTCCTTTAAGGCCTATCCACCAATCATAACCTTTTGGAACATGAGACAAACCTCCAACTTTACTATCCCCATACTATAATTTATTTAAATTTAATGATTAATATTTTAAAGTATAAAAGAAAAACCTTATTCAAGTATTTTCCAGCATAGAAATTTGTGTAGTTGTCTGATTTCAGTAACGCAGCAATAGTTGCTTTTTCATCATTTTGTTGCCATTTTCGTCCAGAACAGTTTCCTGACAAGGAATTGTTAACCACTCCAGTATTATGTACATGCTTTCCTGTCAAAATTGTGCTTCGACTTGGGCAACAAATTGGAGAGTTAACAAACTGAAGTTTAAAAATAAATCAATGTGGAATTTAATTGTATGCAGTATCTTACAAAATTTGAAAATGTTGCACCTTCATCTGCAATAAGTCTTCTAGTTATTTCTAGAGGTACCTGGAAATATTAGTGATTAAAAAATCAAGGGAAAATAAATTATGTACATACTAAACCATCCAATAACAGATCTTGATCATCAGTCAAAACCAATACAAAGTTAGGCCTTTGAATCTCTCCAATGGTTAGAGAGCAAAAAAGGAATCCAATTATTAAAAACAACATCCACTTGGAACACATAATGAATCTGTTCATTTTTTATTTATAAAATTATAATTACATTAAACACAATAAGTCATTTATAATTTAATTTGTTTCTCTTGTTTGTACTAGGTTCCAATTGCAACAGATAAAATTATGGAGTGGGAACAAAGAGCTCCATTCCTTGACATTCCTTCGCAATTGTGACTCCAAGTGCAAAGATCCCAATACTCTTCACAATTGACCTGCAGATAAAATGTGATAGTAAAACATAACCTAACCAAGATAATGTACATCTTCCTCAAATACGTACCATTTAAAATCGTCGTTGTATACATCTTTCATGAAGCCGGCGATTGATGATGATTTGCTCATTTTATGTGATTTATTACAAATCGGTATTCGAAGATGAACAGCAATTTCACCGAAACTCAAGTAAAATCAAAATCAATGACTCCCCAGGCTTGCAAACCGCAAATATCAAGCTATCCAACACAGTAAAAAAAATTACGTAACCACAAAATATTTTTTTAATTTAATCAACAATGCCTCTATCCCTTAACAAAGTGTTAATTCTCATGCCTAAACTGTTGAAGTATTTCATTTTGATTATTAATTCCTTGGCCATTGCTATATTGCCACCATCAAAAGTTTTTGCTATATCCAAAGCTAGCTGACTTAAAACTTGCTTGTTCTTCAAATCCAAAGCTTTGAGTGCATCAGGTGTTTCTGCTTCTTCAATTTCTTCATTCAATTCCATCATCTCCATCAGGAAATTTTGATCTGTAGCTTTGTCATTCTCAGTGATAACTTCCCCATGTAAAGACAGCAAATGCAATGCACGACTCAAGGGGATCTGTAAAGTGTTGTATGCTTTATTCACTAATGATGAGTATTCTTCTGAGATTTGTTGCTCCTCTTTGCTCCTAAAATTAATTTATAATATAGTCAGTCAATCTGTTCTTTTTAAATCAACAAGGACTCACTTACTTGTTTGTAAATTTGTCTGGATGCAGAACACTTTGCATTTTCCTGTATTTATTTGTTAAGTCCTTCATGTCCACATTATAACTGTTTTGATAATTGAAAACTTTGAAGAAGTTTCCTTCCTTTGTTGGTGCTTGAATAACATTGCATTTCTCACAGAACAAATCTACCTGGCTTTGCCTACTGACACCACACTTCCAACATTTTGCAGCCACTGTTGAATATTTTAAAACAATTTTCAATCTACTGTTAGCAAACTTCAATGTATTTAGAAACATATTATTAATTACAAACTGATGTATCTCATCAAACTTAAGTAAATTACTAGTGGTTTAATGTCAACCTAGAACTGTGGACTGCTTTACATAAGTACATCAATGTACGTTTAGTTGTCTATATCTGACTTTATTTGCTTTTACAAAAATCCAACATAAATTATGGATGTTTATTTGTATTTTGTATTAATACTGGACAAAAGCATATCTTAAGAATGGTATTGTCAGTGTTAGAATAAATAAGTAGGAGGGTTAATGACATCTTACAGAGATCTATAGAAAGGGTCGTAAATCCATTTATATTGTAGCGCAGCATACATAATATCCGAAATTCATTTTAAAACATTATAGGCTTATAGCAGTGATTCTCAAACTTTTTGGTTCGCGATCCACTTTTGCACTTAACAATTTTAAAGGACCCCCGAAGAATAAGTATAGAGAAAACATCCCCTATTTCTAACCCTTTTCGGGATTATCGACAATTTTTGAGGATCGAACTAACTTTTTCGTATTGGATTTTCTAGATACAGGCGACTATATCTACACGGCTACGGGTGTTTGTTTATATACTCTAATAATGGTTGGACATTACAAAAATAATGAATTTTATGATATCAAGGTTAACATAAATATACCTTTGCATCCAATTTACTAAGAGTATAATTTTTTTTTTCAGTATTTATTTCGAAAGAAAAAAATTGGTACAAAAGACACTCAGAAATATGAGCGTCTTCGATAGGGTAAAACAGGCACTATGTCTGTAAGTTAACATTCCGCCGTTTATCTAGTTACGCCTGGTTCTCGTTCTGGTTCTAGTCATATGTATAAATTAATATGAAAATATTTAAAGCCTTATCTCAATTTGATGATAAACATATTTTTAAATCAAAAGAAGATTTGCAAAATAAGTTATAACTTTGATAATATTATTTTTATATATGAAATATTAACAAAATCTGGCGCATGTCTGGAAATTAGTCGAAATGAATCGTTGGGTTGGAAAGGTTTGCGTCGTCACCGGAGCCAGTTCTGGGATTGGAGCTTCTTTGGCTGAGAAGCTAGTCGATCATGGAGTTGTTGTAATAATAATTCATTATATTTAAGTACATATACAAAATAATTAAGAAATAATTGTGTTATATATATGCAGGTTGTTGGTCTAGCAAGACGTATGGAAAGATTAGAGGAATCAGCAACGGTATTTGCAGGAAAAGCTGGAAAATTTCATCCATATCGATGCGATATAACAAAGAACGAAGAAATCATAAACGCGTTCAAATGGACAACAAGTACAATTGGTCCTATTTCCATTCTAATCAACAATGCTGGCTTTACTAACTATACTACTTTAACCGATGGAGACGAAACTATTTGGAAAAGGGTGCTTGATACGAACGTGATGGGACTGTGTCTTGCTACGAGAGAAGCTGTCAGATCAATGAAATCTAATGGCATCGATGGGCATATAGTGCATGTGAACAGCATCGGAGGGCATACGCCCTATTTAAATAACATGTACCCTCCAAGTAAATTTGCTGTTACCTGCATTACAGAGGTGATGAGGAAAGAGTTAATACAAGCAGGAAGCAAAATCAAAGTGTCTGTGAGTTAGAGATTTTTCATCTACTTTAAAATCTATCTTATAGTTTTATGACTTTACAGAGTATAAGTCCCGGAGCGACAGATACGGAGATGTTACGAGCACACAGCCAAGAATTTGTAGACACTAACAAGTTTCCAATGCTTAATGCCGAAGACGTTGCCGATTCCATTGTACACATACTTGGCACTCCACCTCATGTCCAAGTAATTATTCCAAAGTAAAAAAAAAATTAAAAATGATTCTCCTATTTTTCAGATCCACGAATTGATTATTAAACCTGTTGGTGAGATATTTTGAATAATCTTATCTCATAACAAATATATAATAATATATATATATATATATCTCACATATCTAGTCTTAGTTAGGGGGCCGAACTGAGAAGTTCGTCTTAGTTAGGGTGGCGAACTGACAAGATAGTTTTAGTTGTAGGCCCGAAGGTAAGAAGAAAATGGTCTTACTTGGAGAATCCAAAGAAAAACACTTACTTCTTAAATACTAACTTAAGAGGAGAATGTAACTCTTACTAATAATCCCTGAGATCAACTATTGTATAGTTGACTTTTCAATAAAAACTCTGATGTGTACAATAAAACTAATTAGGAATATTGCATTTAATATTCATAAACCCCTATAAGACTTCACAAGGACATAACTACGAGATAATCCACGGTGTTCAGATATTCTTAATTCCGGGATAGGAGACGTTATTAGGATGACTATGCGTTATATTATATGAGTTCAGATAGAATGAATGAAAAATGAATAAAAAATGTTTATATGTTTATGCATCATATCAATTTGATTTTTAATAACACTTTTTTTTACTGGTATATATATGTACATAAACTTATCAATATTGTATATGTATTAATAATACTGCATTTCTGTTGATTTTAATTTATTGTTTTTGTATATCGCACTATTTGTCCCTGTGTCTTTCGCATTACATACAAGTATATTAAAATTAAAAGGAAAAATAAAACTGACGTTTGTTTTCGTCATAACGTATTTGGACCAAAAGGCTGACTACTAAAGTACAAAGTCTTTCTGTGTAATGTTAGTATAATTATAAAATTTCTGTGTAATTGCATTGCATGAATACAAAGTTATTAATTACGACAAAATATATATTGATAATAATTCTAACAATTCTATATCAATAAAAACATATCAGAACACAAGAATTACAAAATGAATAATATTATAAATTATACTGTTTCATAACTTATATAATTAATCCTCTCAATTACTGAATGTTGTGAATAGGGTAGTAAAATAAAAAAAGAAGTAACTAATATCTTAAAAATATGGAAATTTAAATAAATTTAATAAGGGATAGTATTGAATTATTTATCTGCAATCAAATTGGTACAATTTTTTTGGATTTGCATTTATTTATATTATGGCTGTAGTACAGGTAACCAAGTAAATACGTTATGCGCATGAATATTTACACCAATTATATATATAAATTTGAACGTTCATAGTTGGAGTGTTAATTAAATATAGTTATTATGTGTTAGCATTTTGCACTAAACACATTTTGAACCAGAAATTCATATTTTTCAAGGTAAGTTATCATTGTTACTTTAATAATAATATGTTTATATGAAATATTAATGAAAACTGAAGTGTATGTTTAGTTGTAAGTAGTTGAAATGGATCGTTGGGTTGGAAAGATTTGCGTGGTCACCGGAGCCAGTTCTGGGATTGGAGCTTCTTTGGCTGAGAAACTCGTCGAACTTGGAGTTGTGGTAATATTTATAATTCATTTATTTAGGTATTAAAACTATATAAATAATTAAAAAAATACTAATTTTTAATTTCAAAATTTTAATTTTATAAAAAAAAAACAAAAATCGATGTCATAAATCAAAATCAAAAAAATAATCTCACGGATATCTCGAAAGATCTAATTGAGACATCAGGACAAGAAACTTAAAATTGGGACACCTGACACGAGTAATAACAGAATTTTCAATTTTGAAACTAAAATACGTGCAAAATAATTAGGAAATAATTTTGTTCTATATGTAGGTTGTCGGTCTAGCAAGACGTATGGAAAAATTGGAGGAATTAGCAAAATCATTTGCTGGAAAAGTTGGGAAATTTCATCCATATCGATGCGACATAACGAAGAATGAAGAAGTCATAAACGCATTCAAATGGATAACAAGCACAATTGGTCCTATTTCCATTCTCATCAACAATGCTGGCGTTGCTAGACATACTACTTTACTCGATGGAGATGAATCTCTTTGGAGCACGGTTATCGACACGAATGTGATGGGACTCTGTCTTGCTACAAGAGAAGCTGTTAGATCAATGAAGACTAATGGCATCGACGGGCATATAGTGCATATGAACAGCGTCGGTGGGCATTCATCCTTTTTAGCTAACATGTATTCTCCGAGTAAATTTGCTATTACCTCCATTACAGAGGTTATGAGGAAAGAGTTAATGCAAGCAGGAAGCAAAATAAAAGTCTCGGTGAGTTACAGATCTTGCATTAGCTTTAAGGTTCATCTTATGTATATATTACTTTACATAGCATAAGTCCCGGATTGACCGATACAGATATATTAAAAGAAAATAGGTATGAAGACACACCCCTTAAAGATTTGCCGTTACTTAAGCCAGAAGACGTTGCTAATTCCATTCTGCACATACTTGGTACTCCACCTCACGTCCAAGTAATTATAACAATTATACCATATGCATATTAAATGTTCAGATCGCATTCTCTTTACTTTCAGATTCACGACTTAATGATAAAACCAATTGGTGAATTTTTTTGAATAATTATTCTGCAATTAATAATAGACATAACTAAATAAAATACAATATAAAGAAAAACAATCACACCATAGAACTATCGACCTAGATCATAGGTCGATATACAACAGGATATATGCAAATAAGACGAATGGAAACGGGGAGGACTTTAAATTATAGATATTAGCTGTTGTAAAGGGGTTAATGTGGTATATTTAAATTTGGGATGAATATTTGGATTTCAAGTAATAGAGAATCTAGAAAGTGAGGCAATATTGGACTCTTTGGATTTAAATTTCAAGGAAAAGAAGATATATCGGAACAGATGAACTATTTTGGTTTTGGAGTGAAGGAGATCTTTGAGAGGATTACTCGAATATTGGTAAGGATGCGTCGAGCAAAAAGTTATTCTTTGTTCGACCTTTACAATAAACAATATTTCCTGAAATATTTTGATTTAATTTCAAGTTATTCAAACATCAAATCTTTATTATATTAGTTCAGTTGGATATAGTTTAATCAAAATATGTTTTCATCAATGCATTTGTTATCCAATTGTAGGATAATAATCTTTTTCTTCATAAAAGTCTCATAATATTATCAACATTTTGTATTCATTTGTTACTGGCACTCGTTTAAAACATATTTCAATTTCGTGTTATTATTTTGGATTTTTATATATCATCATATCATATAATCATCACATATGATCATACTATTATCATTTAAGAATTTTCCTAAAAGATGCATACAGTGATTTTTTTTAAAACTCTGTAAACAATATTTAAACAATCGATACTAAAGAAACAGATTGAACTTCCTGCTGATTTATGAAATAGAAAAGCTCAATGATGTACGTGCGTGTTTGAAAAAAAAATATGAATGGCAAGTTTTTACTCTGCTGATACAACGTTTAGTCTGAACTCTTTGAGGGGCAGAAGTATACGTAATGTATCGCCTTTTGAACATGTCTAGTTGGGCATTATAATAATTTTCTAGGAAATGTCCAGGAAAAGGAGTTATTCATTAATTTGGTTGATATGTCAAAGGAAAAACTGTTTTCAGTAAGATCAGGAATACTTAAAATGTCACCGTTAGTGTAAACTACGATGAAATATGTATTTTTAGTAAATCAGATATTTTTATCAAAAAATAAATATTTTGAAGCAATTGATTTACAAACAAATCTCTAATTAAAATTACTTGTATAGTATAAAATATATTATATCTAATCAAACTTTAGTGACTAAGGTCACGTATTAGTTTATACATGCATATTTCATTTATAAGCTTAGAATGATGAAGCAAGACATGTATTTGACTCTTGTTATCCTCCCTTCGTATAACAATTTTGTGTATATTAATAACAATTTCAAGCTCTTGCTATGTACCGCCTTATGTAAATACACAATTTGCACACTTGGTAGTGCCGGCCCTGCTCACAAGTATACACGTTTACTTGCCTATAAATAGCATTATTTATGTATTTATGTCAAGAGAAACCTCACATTTGATATATATTCGAATGTTCACAACAGAACGATAGTATGCATCTTGTATCTAAGTTAACAGTGGTTGGTATATTATTGATAAGTACTATTTGGGGAAAGAAAAATGCTAGTAAAGAAATAGGTGGTAATCCTAGGTACCACCAATTTCTTTACATAATTAATATAGACAATAATAGGGGTGGCCAGAAATATTGGGAGCTGCACCTAAAGTTTTTGGTATAAAAACAATAAAATATATAAAATATTATATTTATTAGCAGTCATGTGCCGCTCGCGAGCCATAGTTTGGCCACTCTTGGCCTATGATACAGATATTCAAGTTTCACCCAAGCAAATATTGATGGTCACCAAGACCGTACATGAGAAGAATGAGATGTAAACCTAACCTTTACATTAGATAAAATTAAAAGCTTTTCAAATTAAAATAATTTCCAACATCCTATGATATGAAAATATATTATTAACTTACAATAATTCCACTTTGGAAAGCGTCCACGGCTAATCACTATTTAATGATTTACTTACAAATTCTAAACTCTATACAAGCCAACTTGATAGTAAATGCAAATATGTACATTCGTCTACAATCATTAAGTGTTGGGATACTTTTCTAAAGATTGTATCCCCCACTAGGTCAATCCTCTATTATAAAATACGACCAATTTCAAATACAAAATTAGTCTAAGAAAAGTTGTTTTAAGAATTTGTTAACAGTGATTTATTAAGTGTTAATTATTTAAACTCTGACTTACTTTTATCGTTGCTGAATATATTATAATGTTTCTTAAAACTTAAGTGTAAGTGCCTTATCTCATTTTTTTAATAATATATATACTTGAAATCAGAATTGTTCCTTTAGAAAAATATATTATCACTTCTATGTTGATAATATTATCTCTCGTATATACAAGATACTTAATTTTTAGCGCTCTATATAGCACACGTTCGCAGTGATTAACGAATTCTCAGGTGTTTAAATTATTTGTTTTATACGAAGGCCATTGTTGATATAATATTATATCACCAAAATTTTACATATATATATAATCGGTGAAGGTGTTAAGGTCTGGTAATAAGTCAAAATGGATCGTTGGATTGGAAAAGTTTGCGTAGTCACCGGTGCCAGTTCTGGAATTGGAGCTACCTTAGCTGAGAAATTGGTTGATCTTGGAGTTGTGGTAATAATAATCATTAATTGTATTTATAAAAAATATTACATTTAATTTATGTTAGTGAAATTGTGATTGTGTCATCAAGATGCTTTGATGTTTGAATTAATGTGATAAATCTCAAAAGTCATAATATGTTGGACTTACATGCTAACTATTTCAAAGAAAGTTGAACCTTTGAACCTATAGTTAAACTCTCCATTTTCACGGCACACTTAAATTTTCTAAATTAAATCGAGGCATAACTCTTGTTTCAGAAACTATCATAAAATCGAGTATGACTGTTAATCCTAACCTAACAGCTAATCCAATCTAACCTTAAATTTTTACAAACTAATTCGGTCAATATTAAACATAATATCTGATACAAGTTGTAGATCGTAATGATCTAACATCATAATAATTTTGTTGTATGTCTAGGTGGTAGGTCTAGCAAGACGCGTTGAAAGGTTGGAGGAATCAGCAAAGGCATTGGTTGGTAAAGCTGGAAAATTGCATGCATATCGATGTGATATAACGAAGAAGGAGGAAGTCATAAACGCATTCAAATGGATTACATGCACCGTTGGACCAATTTCAATTCTCATCAACAATGCCGGCGTCTCCAGACATACTACTTTAATCGATGGGGATGACAGTATTTGGAGTATGGTTCTGGACACGAATGTGATGGGCCTTTGCCTTGCTACAAGAGAAGCAATCGCATCCATGAAAGCCAACAGTATCGACGGGCATATAGTCCATGTGAATAGCATTGCTGGACATACGGTCTATTCAAATAACATGTACTCTCCGAGTAAGTTTGCTGTTACGAGCATTACAGAAGTGATGAGGAAAGAGTTATTGAACGCAGAGAGCAAAATCAAAGTTTCCGTGAGTACATGTTACATAATTTAAGACCAATATACTTGATGCTTGACTTTATAGAGCATTAGTCCCGGAATGACCGACACGGAGATGTTAAAATTGCAAGGCGATGAAATAATCATACCCGACGATATGCCAGCGCTTAATCCAGAAGACGTTGCCAATTCCATTATACACATTCTTGGTACTCCGCCTCACGTCCAGGTATTGATTCTAAAATTAGTAATCTCGCATCAGATTTAAACATTATTTTCTTGACTTTCAGATACATGAGTTGATCATAAAACCAGTGGGCGAGGCATTTTAAAGGAAGATGAACTTGTATGTTTTGTTTTTATACGTTTCTTTATTTAAAGGACTATTATATAAATAAAATTATTAAAGTTTAGTTATACGAACTTTTTATTTTTTTCGCCACTTGATTTTGGCCTGAAATTATGTAGGGTAATATTTCTTACATTATCCAACATCATCCTTGTTAAAAAAGAACTATGCAAAGCCTGTATGAATTACCACCACTGGCTAGAAATCTACCCAAACCATCTTGTTTCATAGTTAATACACGACCATCATCGGAGGCTTACATTGAAATGCGGATAACTAAACTTATTTACTTGTATCTGAGAACAGTTAAGTAAAATTATGGTTGGTTAATTTTAAGCAAACTATACGATTAAAAAAAATCTTACTCCACCTACTTTTATAAATTTGCCTATATTTTTTTGTTTAATTATATAAAAATGTATTTATATGACATTTGCAACATATCATTTTAATATATAAAAATGTAGTAAAATACATTGTAACACCTATTTGTACTTGAGACTAATTTTAATTCTGGTTTATGTAGATAATTCAATATTGAACATTATTAGTTTTTATTTTATATAGAAAGGTTACATAATTTTGGTAAGTTGAAGCTTAAATAAAAAAAATAAGATAGCAATATCTAGTAGACGATAATGTTATCTAATTTTTATCATATAATTGTGTTTAATTGATAATTGGATTAAATAAATTGCGCTACTTGTAATTTCTAATTTCAGTAAATAAGCAAACTGCATAATGGAGAGGTGGAATGGAAAAGTGGCCGTAGTGACTGGTGCCAGTTCAGGAATTGGAGAAGCTCTGGTCGAAAATTTAGTTCGTCAAGGATTGCAGGTATAACTAAAGTAGATCAAAGAATGATCTTAATATAAAGTATTTTTAATTATATTTTATTTATTACTGTATCTTTGCAGGTAGCTGGATTGGCTAGAAGAGTGGAGAGGATCGAAGAAAATGCTAAAAAATTAGAAGGATGCAAGGGAAAACTGCACGCATTTTACTGCGATATGACCGACGATGCGACAATTATCGAGGCCTTTAAGAAGATCGTTAACACGTTGGGTCCTATTCACATACTTGTCAACAATGCGGGGATTACTAAAGATGGTACGCTCATTAAAGGAAACGAACAGGTCTGGAGGCAAACAATGGACACGAACGTGATGGGTCTTTGTTTGGCGACACGCGAAGCTGTCAATTCCATGTTGGAAAATAACATAGATGGACATGTTATCCATATAAACAGTATTGTAGGCCATAAGATGTTGCCCTTGAACATGTACTCGCCCAGCAAGTACGCACTTACCTGCATCACCGAAGTGATGAGGCAGGAATTGAATCAGCTGAAAAGTAAAATAAAAGTTTCCGTAAGTACACTACCATTCATTTTATCTTTAACAATAAATATGAAACGAACAAATTATTTCCTGCAGAGCGTCAGCCCAGGATTCACCGAGACAGAACTAGATGGCGCACAGAACATGCCTAAAGATGCACCAAGATTAATGCCTACCGACATTGTCAATGCCATAGTTTTTGTTCTTAGCACTCCTCCGCATGTTCAGGTAAAAATAATAAATCATTTTTTTGTTATGTTTAAATTTATATACTTAAAATTAAATCATTCTTAATTGTGTTATTTTATTTTTTATAGGTCCATGAACTGATCATAAAACCAGTTGGAGAAATATATTAATTAATGGTTTTTGTGAAAGAAATATTGTTATGTTTAAAACGTAGTAAAATGAATAAAATACAACACTTCAGTTCGAGACGCGGTAATATATATTTTATTTGCTCCTTTTTTAATTTAACTGGAGGTGGAAAGCTCCGAAAATTCATCATGCTTTTCTGGGCCTAGGGATGGCGTATGGGAGCAGAGGAAGAGGAAACGAGGCAATCTCAAAAAGTCAAACACCAAATCCAAAAAACTACGAGCGATATTAGTTAACGACTTTCAATAATTATTTGATTTGATTTTGTTGAATTATTCATAATAAACTTTAAGAATAAGAAATTATATAAAATGGAATTAGATTATTAATTGTTGTTATTTATTATTAATAACAATATATTATTATTGTATTTGTTTTCGATAATAAACCTACGGCTGTCGTCAGGTACGGCTCTCGTCAATAAGCGATTTGATGAATTATGCGGAATTATACGGTTGTCGCCTATTAACCATTCTATATATTATTGTAAAATTTGTTCTCTTTAATGATTATTTTATCATCTTTTATAATGTGTTTTGTTATACATATTTTATATATCGAGCTATTTATTTTACCTAGATGTATTGACTGCATTTATTTTATTCACATTTTATTTCCGAATGTAGGTGCAGTAGTAATATTTCGTTTAGTGCTGCAATTTTCTTATAAAATTTCTTATAAAAATAATTATTATTAGAAATGTCACGAGACAAATTTTACAAAAACATGGAACTTTGCAGCTGGACCGAAAAGTATTGAAACCATTTATAATTTAGGTGTAGTAAATTTCATGAAAAGACATTTACCAGTTAATGATGGAATATTAACTACTGAAAGTACACAAAAAAGACTAAGAATTTGCTATGTATGTTCAAATACTGTTTGAGGTGAAAAAAAAAGAAAATATGATACAACCCGAGTGTAAAATACGACTTTGTATAAAGGACTGTTACAAAATGTATGGCACAAATTATTCATATTTTCGATTTAATTTTTCATTTTACCGTAAAATATGTTTTTGATGATAATATTGTGTTATTTGTATTTACAGAGTTTTGAAATGTATTGTAGTTCACTATATTCATAAATAAATACATTTTTGTGTTTATGCAGCCAGTTTTGTAAATATTTTTCAGTTAAAGTGTTAATAATAAATAGTAATAATTAATAATTTAATTATATTTTAGATTATTTCTTAATGTTAAGTTTTATTATAAATAATTCTATATTCAATAATAAAAGATACTGTCGACTTTTTGATACTGTCTGGAATATGGTTGTAGGGATTTCGATTGTCACCGCAATTTAATACATAAAAATTCGACAATTGATACATTGTCGAAAATTGTATTTGCATTCAGGTATATTTACCTACATTAACTTATCAACATGTTTTATGTATTCAGTACTGGTTCTTACTTAGAATATGTTACTTGTTTACTGTTTATTTTAACTTAGACTTATTATTGTTTTTTTAAATAATCGCACAAGGTCAACATTTTACGCAATTAAAAATTAAAATAAATATTGCTAAATTATTTACATTTACAGTTTTTTTTTAATAAAACAATTATTATTATTGCAACAGAAAAAATATTCAAAATAAAACCTTAATACAATAATAATTATAAAATAAAAATAATTTTGTAATGATCAATTCGTGCTTTCGCAAAAACTATAAAATATTACAATTGTAATAATTGTTTGTACTTGAGACTAATTCTAATAGTACAATGTTGAACATTATTACTATTTAGTTGAAAAGTAGCGGTAAAGTTATAATACAAAATATAAAATTTCTAGGTGTTAAATAAAGTAGCTTAAATTAAAAAAATAAGATAAATCTTATCGTCCGGTACATATTTTCCATGCATTCAGATTCCCCACTATACTTGTGTTTAATTGTTAATTGGATTAAATATATTGCGCTGCTTGCAATTTCTTACTTCAGTGAATAAGCAAACTGCACAATGGAGAGATGGAATGGAAAAGTGGTCGTAGTGACTGGTGCCAGTTCGGGAATTGGAGAAGCTCTGGTCGAAAATTTAGTTCGTCAAGGATTGCAGGTATAACTGAAGATCAAAGAATGATCTTAATATATTGTATTTTTACTTATACAATGGATTCCGCTTATTCGGGACATATCAGGACTAGTATATTGTGTCCCGATTAAGCGGCTGGCCCAATTATCCGAAGTTCCACAGTAATAACAGCATTAGTGTTTTTTAATATTTTATTTAATAAATTACATAAAATTAAATAATTCACAAAACTATTCGTATGTATCCGTATATAAACGGATATAAAACGGAATATTGTCCAACAAAAGCGGAATATTTTCTTAGTTTTGTTTTCGTTCTTTCTGATTTTTCCCTTATAACCTGTCCTGGGACACCGGTTAAGGTGTCCCAATTAAGCGGAATCGACTGTATTTAATTTATTACTGGATCTTTGCAGGTAGCTGGATTGGCTAGAAGAGTGGAGAGGATCGAAGAAAATGCTAAAAAATTAGAAGGATGCAAAGGAAAACTGCACGCATTTTATTGCGACATGACCGACGATGCGTTAATTGTCGAGACCTTTAAGAAGATCGTCAACACGTTGGGTCCTATTCACATACTCGTCAACAATGCGGGGGTTGCTAAAAAAGGCATGCTCATTAAAGGAAACGAACAGATCTGGAGGCAAACAATGGACACGAACGTGATGGGTCTTTGTTTGGCGACACGCGAAGCTGTAAATTCCATGTTAGAAAATAACATAGATGGACATGTTATCCACATAAACAGTATTGCAGGCCATAAGAACATATACTTGAACATGTACTCGCCTAGCAAGCACGCAGTTACCTGCATCACAGAAGTGATGAGGCACGAATTGAACCAACTTAATAGTAAAATTAAAGTTTCCGTAAGTACACAAGCATTTAATTTTGCTTTAACAAAAAGTATGAAACAAATAAATTATTTCGTACAGAGCATCAGCCCAGGATTCACCGAGACAGAAATAAATGCCGCCCAGCACATACCTAAAGAAGTACCCAGATTAATGTCATCCGATATTGTCAATGCAATAGTTTTTGTTCTTAGCACTCCTCCACATGTTCAGGTAAAAATAAAAAAAAAATTGTTATGATTAAATTTATTTTTTAATGGGATTTTACAAATTTGAAATTGAAATTTATTATAATAATAAGATCATTGTTAATTGTGTTGTTTTATTTTTATAGGTACATGAAATGATCATAAAACCTGTTGGCGAAACGCATTGATTAATGATTTTAGATTATTAATTGTCAAAGAACGATTGTTATGTTTAAAACGTAATAAAATGAATAAAATACAATTTGTACACATACTTGAAGTGTTTTATATTGATCTAATATGATAGAAAAATGTATAAAGATTTGAGAAAGTCAAGTGTTTACAAAATATTGATTTATCAAATTATCAATATGCTGTTTCAGATTTAAACCTGTTCTCCAATTGGTTTGATTATAAGCTCGTGCACCTGAAGAAAAATATTTTAAAAGTCAATTATTAAATAAGTTGAAAGTATATAATTTACCTGCACATTGGGTCTTGTCCCGAGGATGTAAACGATACCATCAACGATATCTTGCGGATCCAATCTCGGAAGAAGCTCTATCTGTTCTTTGGTGTAAGTCTTCTCGAGCATTTCGGTGTCGACTATACCCGGACTGATGCTCTAAAAGTTAATGCGTTAATGAATCGAAGTAATCGGACAAGTTATAGATTTTACTGAAACTTTGATTTTGCCAATCTCCAGCAGTTCCTTCCTCATGATTTCCGTGACGCAGGTTAGGGCGTGCTTGCTAGGTGAATACATGTTACCAAAGTACAGAATTCGATGACCTCCGACACTGTTCACATGGACAATATGACCGTCTATGTTGTTGGTCCTCATTGATTTCACCGCTTCCTTCGTAGCCACGCACACTCCAATCAAATTGGTGCCGATAATATCTCTCCACATTTGGGCATCTCCTTCGATCAGGTTCGTCCTCCTGGTGCATCCAGCATTATTTATCAGCACGTGGATCGGACCTAAATTGTTTTCTGTCCATTCGAAGGCTGCGATTATATCCGAATCTTGAGTTATGTCTACTTTGAAGGCATACAGTTTTCCAGGAAGATTTGTCAAAGTTTTTGCTGCTTCTTCGACTCTTTCAACTCTTCTTGCCAACCCAACGACCTTAAAAATATAAATTCTCATTTATTTAACGCTTATTCGGTGTTATTATCGTCATTTACCTGCATTCCATATTCTACCAGTTTTGCGGCAATTGCTGCTCCAATTCCAGAACTCGCTCCAGTTACCACAGCTACTTTTCCGTACCAACGATCCATTTCGCTGAAGAGTGTAGCAATTTGTAACAGGACAAAACGATTTAACGCTCATTTATCTAACCATTGCCACTTATATATGCCAGAAGGGGAGTTAAATGAATAATAATTAATAAAACCTTGAACATGTACATTATGTTGTTTCAATTTGTAATCATGTAAGCAAATGTAGCAAACAAATAAATGGTAATGCTTAAAATAATGTCTTATAAATATGTAAAATTTCGTATTGTTTAAAATAAACAATTCACAAAATTGTAAACAAAAACCGGGGTACAGGTAAACGTCGTTTTACACCGGTTCGATTTACATCACAATAATACCGCTGCAAAATAACGCTTTTTAATTGCTGATTTTACATTTATATAGTACTAAACCCTACAGTTACCTCACTGTAAATAATGGTTCATTTTAAGCCGATTCGATTTGCGACGGCGTAAAACGACGGCTACCTGTATATCATTTCATATTTTGTAAAAGAAGGCGAATTAATTCTTTAAATATTATAGAACAACGATTCTCAACCAATTGGGCCATGACCCAAAATTGGATAGCATTATGTTTTTAATGGATTGTGAAATGGTAGCTGTCATCTTAGATACAAGATGAGAAACGAGAAACTCTTAGCAAATGGAGTGCAGAATAACTACAGACAAATATGTTAGGATGAGTTGCAAAAAAGTTGAGTACCTCTGTTTTTGATGGAATAACTATCAATATTACCATTTCCAAAAAATATATTTGTAGGATTTTGGCTCAAGATAACACAGCTGTGATAAAGGCGATACGGCGAGCGGCATTTTTATTTGGTGCTAAGCCTTTTTGGCCAAGTAAAGGTATGCCCTTACTGATCAAAGCATACAACGTAATGAGCCGATGGGAATACCTGATATACAATTCGTCGATTCAAGACTATTTTAATTTGTCTGTGAATGTTCGTTTTAAAAAATGGAACAGGGTTGATTTTATGAATAGATGTAATGATAGTGTACCAATGCAACAAATCACCCAGAGTTTCCTTTTATTTTTAAACACACAATGGAAAGACCATGTTCATAATTACACAGATGGTTCTGTTTAACAGGATCCAAGGTCATCTGCCTATGGGTTGTATGTAGATCAGAGGGACATATCTGAGTGTGGGTACATTTCACCATTGTCCTCAATATTTTCGGCAGAGTTGTATGCCATTTATAGGGCTATGAGAATTATTGAGTCGAATGGATGGAGAAAGGCTGTGATATTTTCGGATTCAAAAAGTGCGATGGATGCAATTGAATCCACACTGTATTCAGCGAAGGATAACTTTATTATATTTAAAATTAAGGCTCTACTGGGCATGCTGGAAAGGTCAGGCACGAAGACTTCGTTCTGCTGAATGAAAGGGCAGATGCTCTGGCCAGTGAGGGACATATGGGAAGGAGAATGACTATTGCATATACCGATTTGTATCCAATTGCTATCAAGGACGAATAACAAAAATGGCAATACATATACAGTAACGCATCAACTAACAGAGGGAGAAGATACTTCGAATGGAATTCCGCAGTGAGAACTAAACCATGGTTTGTGAGAATGGGCTTCACTAAGAAACAAGAAGTATTGGCGTTGAGTAGATTGCGATCTGGACATGACAGATCGGCTGCTCAATTGTTCCGTATGAATCTTTTGGAATCTCCAGACTATGTTTGCGGTATGATAGCCACTACAAATCATATATTTTTTGAATGCCCAAATAATAGTATACATAAGAAAGTCCTGTTGAAGGAATTGATAGCAAATAATGTAAATCTCCCAACCTCAATAGAAGTATTGCTAAGAATGGAAGAAGGCAATATCTACAGAGTAATTTTAAAGTTTATAAAAAAATCAGGTTGAGTTGTTTGAATATGTGATGTAAGTTGTTTATTTGAATTTTTATATATTTAATTATTTTTATCGGTTTGTTGGATATTTTGTATAACTTAACTTTTTGTGACATATTTATTTATTGCTGGTACCTTATAACAATTCACATAATATTTGACCTACCTATCCGAGACCTTCCATATTGTGAAAAGAATCGCCGGGTCCCGGTTCGTGAAGAGTTAATATATGTTTTGTTTTTAATGTTTAATCTTATTTAATATGGCATTGATTGGCTACATGCACCCCGTTGTGCGAGCTAAGTTGCATACTCCTAAGGAGTGGAAGAAATAGAAACAGAAACAACTATCAATATGAATATTGTACAAAAAAATACGAAGAGCACTTGACTTCAGTATTTCCGCCCTGTACAAAATATATAAAAGCATTTTATTTCATACTCAATAGAATAAATATTATAATAATATTTATTAAAAATAAAGTGATAATTAATTAATTATGATATCTTCGATAAAAACATACATCATATTTTATGAAAATATAACAACGATAATTAATAATATTACTTATTACACAGTTTCTTAGAAATTATTGCAAATCGCAAAGAATTTATTTCCAAATTATATTATTATGTACAATAGAAGGTCAACTATTTTGATAATATGAGTAAGATTACTTTAAAGAATACATATCATTGGGATTGGATAGAAATCGGTTGAAAATAAAAACATGACTCGACTTTCTTTTTTCCGGTCGCGTAGATAAAAAAAATCCACTTGAAATTTGATTTATTTAATAATTGGGATAAGTACATATACATTTAATTTGGCAATTAATAGAGATAATAATATTTGGACGTCGTTGAACTGAATTTGCTGAATTTGTTATTTCTCAAAATAATTGAATGCACATACATATACATTTTAATTAGTTTTTATTTTGCAATTGTCTAGAAATATTTACCAACAAATGAATGACATTGATTACAAAGAAATGAAAAATAAACTGAATAAGTATTTTTTTTATAATCCTTTATTGCCAACTTTTTAGCAACAAGTGGATTTTTTTTGGCCATAAGACAAAAAACAGAAAAGGAAACAAAATAAGCGTGGAGCGGAACGATTTCCCATCGGAAACCTTCCAACAAACAAATTCAAATTTAACTAAAAATCATTGTGATAACAAATCTACCCAAATAAAAAATAATTCTGACGACACCAAGTAATAACTTAAAAAGATATTCAATGTAATTCACGAATAAAATAAACTTTTAGTTTCTAAAGGGAAGGTCGAGGGTGTTGTGTCTCTGTAGTCTGTGGGGGGTGTCGCTGTTTTCCAGTCTATTCTGGTAACGGGCACTGAACTTGGGGATTTCACTCTTGTTCATGTTCATGTGGAAGTCTCTGTGTAATAGTAATAAGTAAATTATTAATTATCGTTGTTATATTTTTATACAATGTGATGAATGTTTGCATCGAAGTTATCATAATTAATTAATTATCATTTTATTTTTAATAAATAAGTATTTCGTAAGTTTTTCATTTTGAAATATTAATTATTTTTTAAACAATTTATTTAGTTTTGTAAATAGTGATTATGAGATAGTTTTGTTTAAAAATAGTAGGTCATTTAAGTAGCACATCGTAAAATGCATCTTAAATTTTATCTAATTTGATGATAAAATTTACTTAAAAAGGTAATATGTATTATCAAAATAATTGAAGTATTTATCTCTGCCAGAGATAAAATCTTATGAGGGCGAAACAAGTTGTATTATTTGCTATAAAGTATGAATTGCTCAAATAAATGACTAATTCTATTAATAGTAATCAATTAAACTCATGTTTAAAACCAGACTAATTGATGAACTAAATATATTCAAAAATAAACCACACATAAAGATACTTGAGGAGAAAATTTATGTATTAAAAAAAAATGTGTACTTTTTTTTTAGAATTACATTTAATAATTTAAATACTTTCATATTATTTATAATGCATTCTTAGTAAATAGTGTAGTGGTTAATAATTATTGGAAAGAGAATAATTGTTATGTTTAATACATTGTTAAAAGTATTTTTTTGTGTATATTATACTACTAAATTAGAATTAGAATTTTTAAATTAATCAAAAATTTGAATGAATAATTAATGTTCGATTGATTATGATTAAAAAATAATATTTTAATTAGTTTTTATTTCGCAATTGTCTAGAAATATTTACCAATAATTATTACATTCTGGGATATTATGAAATAATCGATGTGTTAATAGATTAACTTAAATATATTTATTGTTACAAAGTATTGTAATTAATTATATTATATACATTACTTAATGTAAATAATGTTTGGTTTAAGCGATCTCGCCAATTGGTTTAATGACCATCTCTTGAACCTAGAATCAAAAATAAAAATATTTCTTAGCACACATTGATATGCAATATAATTTTTTCTTACTTGAACATGCGGAGGTCTACTGAGCATGAACATGACAGCGTTCGAAACATCGGTACAACTCAAAAGAGGAATTTTTGCGATAGCTTCGGCAGGGTATCCGTTGAACAATTCGGATCCCGTCATTCCAGGTGAAATTGCCTGAAGAGAAAAAATCTATATATTATACTGTTTAATTATCAATTTTTAAATATACGTACGGAAATTTTGATTTTCTTTCCTTTCAGGACCAATTCCTGTCTGGTGGTTTCGGTGAGGGCACTAATACCGTGCTTGATGGCTGGGTAAATACCCATTTCCGGGTTATACACATGATTGATAACGTGCCCATAGATGCTGTTCACATTGATGATGTGTCCGTCAACATTGTTTGCAATCATGTCCTTAATAGATTCTTGGCTGATGATGCAAGGCGCCAAAAGCATCGAATCCATCTGCGATTTCCACACGCTCAAATCACCATTGAAAGTGCCACCTTCCGCAAGGAATCCAGCGTTGTTGATCACAATGTGGATGGGTCCGACGTTGTCCTTGACCCATTTCAGGGATGCCAAAATATCTTCGACGACCGTCAGATCGGTTTTCAGGCTGTAAAACTTTCCTGGATACTTTCCGAATTTCTCGACCATCTCGTTCATCTTGTTCTCGCGGCGCGCCATCCCTACCACCTGGAAACCAATATATTTGAACTTCCGTTTACTATATTAAGACAAAATTCTTACGTTTATTCCGGACATCACCAATTCTTCGGCGATTGCAGCACCGATACCGGCACTTGCGCCGGTCACTATAGCAACTTTTCCTACCCAACGGTCCATGTCCGATGCTGCAAATGAATTGATTGTTAGCAATGAGAAATGATTGCCCGCTTTTATGCGAAAAGTAGACTGTGAAAAAAAACTTATTACACAATGGTACAGTTGATAAGATAATTTGTAATCTATTCTATGACGGATATAAATTGTAAGGTATTTCAGAAATTACCAAAATTGCGTCACTTGAATTGATCTATAAGCTTTGTAAACTCACAATAAATACGCTCTACACCAGTAGTCGATATTACAATATTAGTTCTACTTTTTCTTAGAGTGTTGCGACTAACTTATTTAAAAACTAGCAATTATTAAAATGCTCAACCATTTATATTAAACAGAAAATTATACATGATTAACGTCTCTCTTTCCAATCATTACTTTTACATTACTTGCCGAATTGTAATAGCAGTGATTCTCAAAAATTTTGATAAAAAAAAATTCTGCAACCCCCTTTTGGACATACAAAATCTCAGAAACCCCCCCAAGAATGGGTATGTGTAGAAAAACAACCATGATTGATCTATCATAATTTTTTTGTCGTGTCCCACACTTTGAGAGTCACTGGTATATAGTATAAAAAACAACATTATTTTATAGAGTGTAATTAAAAACAAATCATAAAAATCACTTTTATTTGCATGACTGTCTATTTTATTTTATAGCACTTTTTTACTTTCCAATCTTGTTAGGAGTTCTGAATCTATTATTTAGTTTCAGTTTTAATATTTAGAGACAGAGAGAAATATACTTACGTTATATACAATAATTATAAGCCAAAATTGGCGTCTCAGTCTTTTTGTTACAAAAAAATAACTACTAAATGGGGGATTAACAACTAAATAACCGAACTCCTAGTTTTTTTCTAGAATTAGATTTATATTTAAATATATTTTCATTCGATTTTTATAAGTTTTATATAAAACATAATAGTATGTCAATGTACCAACTTTAGTACACGAGCACAGGAAAAAAAAGCTTGTTATTTTAAATGTACACACGGTTAGTATAAATTCGTCTTCACCAATAACTTTCATTTATATACGGATCGAATTTGTGGGCGTAACTTCTTTTTTCTTCTATTTTTTTCAAACTTTGGAACTGACTGAGAGTCTATGACTAAAAAAAATCGCTGCTTACAATACATTGAAAAAAAGTAAATACATTATAATAAATAAATAAATTATATACAAATCAATTTAGAACAAATATAAATAAATTAGGAAGACGTTTTCAAATGTGTAATACATAATTAAATGTAAATTTTATGTGTGAGCGGCGGCCGGCAAACATTTTATGTTTTTTTTTATATAATATTTTGCCAACGGGCATTTTAAAACTTAAAAACGTTCCTGACCCTCTGCTCAATGATATTTGATATGTATTTTTCAAAAATTATTTCATCATATTATTTCATAAAATTTATGTAATACCCATAGAACTGATTAAACACATTCAAAGTTTTACTCAAGGATTCAGATTTGTATCTCACAAAGGCTGTATTAAAACAACTCTTGATAAAATGCTGGATGAAGTTACCTTTGAGTACTTAACATTGGCGAATCCACTCAAATAGATTTATTTTACTTTTAAAGTTCTAAAGCAGCGTTTCTCAAACTTTTGGTCCGCGATTTAAAAATTTAAAAGATCATCCATTATTCGGGATGATCTTTTAAATTGTGTATGTGTAGAAACGGTGACAATCGAAATCCAGACTTTTGCAATCCCGATTTTTAAATAACAACAATTAATAATCAAATTGTATTTGAGATTATTTCATTTGTTAAGGTTTATTATGAATAATTCAACAAAATTAAATACATTAATAATAATTTATTGTTATTTATTATAAAAATGTAGCATAAGGTGACTACACTCCCAAAAAAAATTAAAAATGTTATTGTAGAAATTTTCGATATAGTCGGGATTATGGTTGTCTGGATTTTGATACAGTCAGGCTTTCGGTATAGACCCGTGTAGAAAAACCGGATTAATATGTAACAAATTTTTCTGCAATGTCACCCCCACATTGCAAAAAAAATGAGAATCAATTTGCTAAAGAATAATTTCCATAAATATTTGTTTTATATATAAATATAATAACATATTAAATAATAAAGTAATAGAAATATTACAATTTAAATTATATTAAAATATATTTTTTTTCCATTAGACAATTGCACTAAAACTAACAACCAAAGCCTTTCCAGTTTAAAAATATTAATTAAAAAACGGCACATGGAAGTTAAATCACCAAATATTATATGAAGTAAAACTTCATTACTTATAGAAATGTTTATGGAATTTATAAAGTAATTAACATTACATCAATTAAAGTTATTATGTATGTTTAACAATTTAAAATATCTTTTGCTTGATTTGTTATGCAATATTCACTGTAACAGAACTAAAATAGTCTTTAAACATTTCTCGAATTTGCAAAGTTTCTTGAGTTGTAGTTTCTATCAATGGAACAAAGTCACCAATTGATGATTTATCGTTTGGATTTGTTGCTTCCAATACCACTGGGCCAGATATAAAATTATGAAGGGCGCATGTTGCAAGTAGAATTATATCCACAAGATCGGGCTGCACCATCATGGGTTTGCAGTATATTTTCCAACGAGCGAAGAGCATATCAAAAACATTTGAGACCACTTGTCGAGCATGAGTTACACGCATGTTGAATACTTCGTTAGATAAATCCATGACTGGGCTATAAGGGCGAAGCAAGTACCTTTTCAGTGGAAAAGTTGCGTCACCGATAAGCACGTACGGCATTGGGTATTCAGTGTCGTTTAACGTTGTTCCGTTCTGTGGTATACAAAATCCCCCTTGCTCCAAACACTGCCCAATTCGAGATCTGTTGAAAATGCTGTCTTCGACATTTTGCCCATACGATCCGACGTCGATTGCAATAAACTTGCAATCGGCATCAATCATTGCTACCAGCACCGTTGTATTGTCTCCATTATAATTATAGAATGGAGAGCTGGTATTGATTGGACATTTAATTTTAATACTTTTGCCTACAATTGACCCAATGCAATTTGGAAATTTCCAAAGTTCTTCATATCTTTTTGCAATGTCTAACCACTTCTGCTCAGATGGTTTGGGCATTACAATTGGACTCAATCTTTTCCAAATCGATTCACAAACTTCTTTAACTATCACACGAACAGTACTGTTTCCCAACCGGAATTCAGAACCAATAGTGCGAAATGGATTGCCAGTAACCAAAAACCTGCAATAGAATATTATAATATATATATAATCCTAAAAATATTTTAATGTATAATGTATGTAAATCAATTCGAATGTTTAGTTTACCTCAAACATATTACTAATCTCTCTTTGCTCCCTATTGCTTTCCTAAGCTGTGTGTTTCTTTTCCTAATATCAGTCTCAATCAAACTATGTACAAAATTGAACTCATTCTTGTTCATCCTGAAATAAAGATCATATTTTGAAGGATCCTCTTCTAAGGTGTTCATAATCCTGCTGTACTCTCCTAATTCCTCCCTTTGTGAATTGTTTGGATTCACCCAATGTGACCTATTTGCAGATTTTGTTCTTGTTGTTTTTACATTTTGTGCACACTCTTCATCAGTTTCTGATGAACTGGGATTGTTCATTACAGCACAATAAGTGAACAATATTTAAACAAATAATAGTTCTATTCTGTAAGGTTATGTTCACAGTTTAACCCAGTTTAACTATATATAATGACAAGAATTTAAATTTATTGAGGTGTAATGAACATTGAAATTTATTGGTCTTTGATTTCTATGAAAAAAATGATACACTTATAACTTAGGCTTTCATATCATGAATTCTACTCTTAGTTTATTTGTCTAGAATATGAACTGATCATGTTATATAAGGTGATACTACTGGTCAATAGATGGCAGCAATGAGTAATGATGGTAGACGAAGAAAAGAAAATTTTCAAAATTATATTAATAGACCACCATATACACGCGCTTTTACTGTATTGCCTAAATTCCGATTTGTAAACAATTGCTTTCCCCTGACCCCGCTAACATATTAGTCAAATCATCAATTAATAAAAGCAGGGTCTAGCGAAATTGTACAAGATGCGCAAGCTAAGTGAAGCATGGATGGGAAAAGAGAAGAAGAAAATTATATTAAGGCAGGATATAAATATACATATTTACTATTCAGAACAGATGCTTATTTTTGGTAATAAATCATGAAATAATTTAATTCATAATACAGTAGAACCTGTTTTTGTACGGTTCTTTTTTATGCGATTTATTTTTATGCGGTTTATGAATTCCAACGGCGTTGGAAATGTCGAGAAGAGCCGCATCAATTGAGATACCCCTGGTGCATATATGTACAGCGTACTAACGATTCTGTTAGTCGATTTTAAACAAGAAGATGCGCGTTTTGGATTAACACGAGAAGCAGTGAATCATGTATGTGCATTTTGAATATTTCTCCATATGAACAATGAGAAGTAAAATGTTTTTAATATGTTTCGATGTGTAATTTAATATCTACAGGTTTTACTGTATTAGCCATGACCACTACGGTTATAATTAGATCATGCACGAAAGTAAACATAAATGGAACGCTGTCCGGTATACCTTTCATATTTTTATCATTATATTACGAGTCTAACAAAAGTTCACTAAGTTGTCATTAATACATTTGTTTCTGAAAAAACAAAAATTGTTTCTCAATTTCTTATAGACTAACCATATTTCATGTCAAATTTCAAGAAGATCGGTAAGTGATGTAAGGTTGGCCGAAATTCCATCACAAACATTTGTTTACCCATTCTCTACGGATTTCGACGTGCAAATTTTCTAGGAATGCCAAAATGCCTATGGAGTGAATGCATCAGCCATTGTGACTATTTCCAAGTGATTTCAAAGATTTCAGACCGGACTGTGGAAGACGAACATAGTGAAGGTTGCCCGAAATCTTCGGCCGATAATACAAATGTAGCCCTGGTGAAGGCAAAAATTGACAAAGATCCAAGGGTGACACAGGAAATGAAAGTTGATGAACTGGGCTTGAATGCCATGGCTTTGTCGCAAATATTAAATCATCACTTTGGGTGCACGAAGAAATCCGCTCGATGGGTTCCACGATTTTTAAATGATGACCAAATAAAGGCACTGAATATTTCACAAAAAATATTTCAGCTAACTCTTTCCTTTCACTGTGAATCTACTGCTATCTGCTGCTATCCTTAAGACTGTCACCAACTGTCACTGTCCATCGACTTGGCTGAAGGTCCATATGCTGAACCTCATTCATTTGACTGTTCATCTGTGATGAACGATTGCCCTATTGCTACAAGCATCGAGAAGGCTGTTTTAGCATCAAGTAAAGGCTAGTTTTTACATAGTACTTGCAACTTGTCAAGTAACTTCTGTCTACTTGAGAGATGCGCGCGCATATTAAAAGCTTTTATAATGATACTCTAAGTGGCGCTAGTTGCTAATTCAGTCATATTAAGTTGCCTATATTAATCTATTTATAAATGCTACTCGTGTATATTTTAATAAAAATCGGATTGATGGCGCTGCATACCATTCCACCTCAAGATTTTCGTACATGGAAATAATATATGAAAATTTGTATTATGAAGTATGTTTACAGTAACCCCACATGTAAGATTTCATAATCAATAAAAGTAAAGTTAAAAGTAAATGAATTATGTTTGCAGACAGTGTAATTTAAAATCTTTATCAAGCATTTGGTTATGTTGGAACTTTTAAGAAAAAAAGTATATACTTTTTGTATAATAAATATTTATTTATTAATGTATTACAGTCGGCTAATGTACTGATGGTACTGATTATATAAAGCCATTGTATATAATATTGCATAACCTGTCATCAGCTGTTCATTCAATTATAATTATAAATTATCTGTCAAACATTTCAGTGACGTTGATAGTATTTTTTGGTTAAAAAATAGTAAATAAGGGTACAAATATAACAAAACGTATAGCTAAGAGATTTTAAACCAAATAAATGTGTTAATTAATTAATTTTTATTTTAGTTTAAAATAATTTACCCAAAATGTCCAGGGTAAGTCTATTGGATTTAAATGTACCACAACTGTTTGAAGAGAGAACAATTGAAGATATTATTCATATTGATAAACTATTAGATGCAGAGATTGAAAGGAAACGAATGGAACTTCGTTCCATGGTTGGGTAGGTTTTTAATGAAAATGGTTATTCATCAAAATAAATAATATACTTTTTAGTGATAGATATAAAGATATTCTAACTGCCACTGAAGCCATAAAATCAATGGAATACATTTCTGAAAATATAGTAGGAAATATAATAAATGTAAAAGATCAATGTGAAACTCTGGTACAAAATATATCAGGAGATTTACCCAAAAAGGCTTTGGTCACATCTAAGTATTTTAATTATAATTATCTTTTAAAATTATATAACATTTACGTATTTATTTATTTAGTGAAAAAAATGAAGAGCGTACAATTGTTATGCAAATACGCCTGGCCATAGTTTTGAATGAAAACATCTGGTTGGCACTTGATGAAGATGATTTTTCCAAGGCAGCTCAATACTATTTACTTGCCCAACATGTACATACAGGTACACATGAATCTTATAACAAATCTGGTTGATACTAACTATATCTGATTTAGGTTTGAGATTGTTTCGAAAAGACATCTTTGAAAAGTATAAAGTTATAAAGAAAATTAAATCAACTGTGGATTCGCTGCGAGAACGAATTCTAAGTTTTACTTATAAGAAATTACAAACCATTCAATTGAGTGCAGAGGTAATACAAAACTTATATTATAAAAACTAAACATTGAATTCAAGTAAATATTTTTTTTAGGATACTTGCAGTAACTTGAATGCGCTCATGTTATTAGAGAATCATAAATGTAGTGAATTGCTTTGCAAATTCATTAAGCTTAGAAAGAACGCGCTGACTACGGTTATCGAAGCTACACATTCTAGCGTCAGGGCGCAAGTTTCCGCAATGGTTAAATGCTTGTATACAACAATCATTCTCTTACATGATTGCTTTTTAAGTAAGGCTCAATTTATTATCCAAATTGTTTTATCAATAGAATTCTTTTTTTTCTTCAGATTATAAAGATACACACAAGGGTTTAATATGGCATCAACTGGATGGGATTGTTGGAGATAATTCTCCAACCACTCTATCTACAGTTCAATTACCTGAAACTAATTTATTACAATACATTCCAGATATAATTAAGCAATTCAGGTGATTATCCAAAAAATACATTTTAAATTTGTTTCAAGTTTTTAATTTCTTTGTAGGCCCAAATGTAGTAACGCTAATAGTACTTTAACAAAAGAGGAGGGCGTTAATTTAATACAAGAATGGATTAAAGATACATCCAATAAAGTTAAGGTTGGAATTGAGAATGCCTTAGATATGGTGCCAAACGTAAAAGGTTTACATATTATTAGAGAAGAAGCGTTGAAAATAGGTATTTATTCTTGTGTTATGTTTATTAGAGGTATAATTTATATATTTTTTAGAACTTCCCCCAAACTGGGATGAGATATGCTTATACACGGAATTACCAAGCAAGTTGAACATTTGGTATCAGTTCTTCCAAAAGTTCATAACGAATCGCGCTCTCTTTTTGATAACTAAGAAAATTACCTACATTATGCAAAATACTCAAAATGAGTTGAGTGCAGCACTAAATACAAAAGAAAATTGTGAGAACGATCTTCGATGGTATATATGGAAAGAGGATCAGGGCGATATTAGTCAATTCGAAAATAAACATTTAGGCTTATCGATGAAGACTAAAGGTTATTCCCCATCCGTAGTTAGACTATGTGAAGATTTTGACAAGAAATTTCGCGAACTTCTAGAAGATATATCTGTTTATATTTATGGAATCGAGTTCGATAAGAACAGAGATTTTAGTTTGGGATTCGCTTTCAAGGATCCGAAAAATAATAGGAAATTCGTCGATAGGGAGAAGTTGGAAGAACACTTGAAATCTGAGTGCGGAATTCATATTAAAAGGTATTAATAATTATTTCATCATACCCTCAAATTCTGTATAATTTTTTTAAATTTTAGTTTGATAAGTTTTTTGGAAAGCGTTATCCAATCAAATGAAGATCAATCAAATATTCTCATGCAGTCAATATTGTCGGCCAGACTTTTGAGCGCTTTAACTAATTTGTGCGAAAATTTCAAAAAGTGCTGTTGCTGCAATAATAACGCAGACGAATGGGATAAAATCGGCGCAGCTTTAAATTCCTCGGCATTGACGTTTTGGCAAAATTGGATACACGACAGTGTTAATGCTACAAAAGTTAAAGCGAAAGAACTTTTGGAGGATGTAGATCCATTAAAAATGCTTTCAATCTTATGCGTAAATATAAACAACAAAATTATTATGTAATATTGAGTGCGTTTGGGTTTTTAGACTTGGGACAGCATTGAAATACAGGAGCAAACGGACGAGAAAATCTTCAAGTCGCAAATAAAAGTTCCGATGAAACCGAGCCTCGCGCTTCAGAAACTTTTGAACGGCTTGAATGAAATGTTGAATGCAATCCTACCACATACGGTTCCCAAAAAGATCCACCTTAGTTTCATAGAAGGAAACGTATCTGTAATATTAGATCAGTACGCTGAGGTGTTGCAAATGGATTTGAATCAAACGCAAGCACTGCAATTTCTGTTCGATGTTAAATTCCTGACCACATTCTCAATACCCAGAGAGAACTTGGAGCTTGGGCAGAAATCGCAAAGTATATGCGAAAAATGCCGATCGTTCGTTGATCCGTTTGATTTAGATGTGTTTTATAAATATTTGCAACATAATGTTAAACAGAGCGTGCTACAGTCGCAAGTATGTTTTCGGATCATTCATTATGAAAATAAGTTATTTTAATTAATATTTTGTGTATTTAGGTCATTTTTGGGAGCCTATTACCAACATCTGGTCAACTTTCAAGTTTGGGAATGCTTGAGAAAAGTAAAGATAACGAAAGGGAACCATCCGTACTTGGTCTGAGCATACCATCGACCACGAACTGGTTTACTCTGCTCCCAGTCACAGCTCCTCTCCAGAAAACTGTTCAACCTGCTATACAGCAAACAGAAAGCAAGGTAAATCATTTGATACATTAAAATTCTGAACTGTATATTATCTATTTGGAATTCCAGACTGTACTCTAATTCTACAATATTCAAGGTATCAATAGTTTAAGCAATATCGTGTTGTTTTTAGCTTTGTCTCTTTGAATTTGTTCTACTTGCACTAACAGAATGTTACAAGTTTTATTAAACTTTAATCTAGTTGATATTATTAAATATTTATACTGCAATTTCGTTTTAGGTATCTAAGGTTAAATCAAACACAAGAAAACCAAACGACGCTGCAACTGGTGTAAGATCCGCCGCTGCTTTATTTGGAGCCATGACAACAGACTGGTTTTCTTAATTGTTGCGAAACGAATTACTTGTATATTATTTAATATTACGTATCAATATAGACTATATTTTAAATAACAAAAACAATTTATTTTTAACTAAAATATTTACAAATCTAAAATCTACCGTGCATATAATAATCAATTGCTGTCGAGAACGCCGCAAATCCTGCAGCTCCAAAAATGCCTGCCTTAACCCCAGCTGGAAAGTTATAGGTAATCATGAGTAACAATTTTAAATAATATATTTATATACACACCTCGTAGTCCAATCAGACCACCAGTAACACCACCAGCATATGTACCATTTCTCCAATCACTCTTACCACGAGCCTGGGAAATAGTAATTTTTGTTTAATTATTTCATTTCTTTATGAATTTAACTTACTGATTCAATTGTACATTCCACAGCAGAGAACATTAATCCAATTAATGCAAAATTTTTGGCATATCCTAATGTGGCTGTTTTCATCTCTTTGAATACTTGTTTGGCAGTTTGCTGCTCCACGCTGGTAGCAGATGGACCCACACTTGAAGAAAACAGACCAATAGCCGCACCCAAACCATAACCTACAACAAATTGATATTGAATAACAAGCAATTAAAAGTATTGTTTGGATTACCAATAACACAGCTCATCATTGACTTAAAAGCACAGCTTTCAAAGAATGCCTCCACTGCCTTCTCTTCATTTGTTTTAATGACCACAGGTCCTAAATTCTTTGGAATAACAATGTTTTCCCTGAACCTTTGATTGTTCCCAACAAAGTAATTAGTTAAACTGATCCACTCCTCACTGGTGAAAGCCCTTTTTTGTTCACTTGTATTCTCCATTTCAAATGTTAACCTTATTTATGAAGTTAGTAAATTATAAATGAAACACACTAATTTTGATACACTCAAGTAAATATAAATCACGAAAACATTGTCTGCTTCTTTAATTAATATAATTGATTTAAATTTCAATGCTCAGATATTCACTAATAATATAAAAATCAATATTACATAACCTCAAAACAAATAGTACTGAAAGGTTGCATATATGAGTAAATTCTATAAAGCTATTATCAATACGACATCTTCAGTGCAAACTTTCAATTATTGTAAAAAAGGATATATTTTGTAGAGTGGCGCCATACGTTATGCATTTACTAAACAATAGTTTCGTCGACCCATTCACCGATGTCACCTCGGTTGTAATGTAACCAGACAGCGATAAGTTCTAAAATTGATGCATTTCGCTTAACGAGCAAAATGAATTGTAAGAAAAATGACTCGCATAACGAGTGACAATGAGAAGAGAAGTCCCGGATTTCTGCATTATTTTTAAAACTTGTGTTGAATAGTTGACTTCTCAATAAACATTCTGATTTGTATAATAAAACTAATTAGGAATATTGCATTTAATATTCATAAACCCCACAACGACGTGTCTACGAGATAATCCAAGGTGTCCAAAGATTTATTAATCCCGGGACACGATAATGTTATACTTTTTTTTCCGGCGTGGAACTCATTATCGTAATTTACATTAGTTTATATGGGGAAAACTATTTCACTACACGAATAAAAATCCGGAAATTTATATTATTAAAATGAAGAATGGATTTAGTCGCCTTGATCACGAAAATCCGATAAGAAAAAACCAACAAAAAATTCTGGAGCCGATAAACCTTAAAAGGGATAGAAATAGGGCCAAAGAGATTTATATCGATAAATTGATATAAATCACTTTAATAAAAAAAGAAGAGATTTTAAGCGAATATGTTTTATATATGAAGTCTTTAAATAGTTACATTTTACTAGAATTTTGTTTTAAAATGATCATCATATATTAAAATTATTTCTAAAGGAAGATGTTTACAGTCTATTGTTAATTTTCAGAATCTAGAATAGAATAAAACAATATTTAAATGAGTATGTAACTTATGTTATACAAAATAATGATTCAACAATACATTCAAGAAAACTTGGCAATATCATTTTTGCTAGTTAAAGAACTATACGGTATTAGAGTTTATGAAAAATCATTTTCAATTCGACAAAAAAACGGCCGAAGGTATTGCACAGTAATCGCACAATTTTAAACTTTTGAATACAACCTATTATTTCCATAGTTTTTAAAGCAATTGCCTCACTTAAGGTATAATCCATTTGACAACTGAAATTCTGATCACAATTTTGAACAATATTCTTTATGCAGTATTCAATCATCACTTTTTTATTTGGTACTGGCAAGAATATACTGAAACCTCTGCAGAACGCATCCAGCATACTATGATACTCCCACATGTTTTTACTTATATAACCAGCGCAATGCAAGGCGATTTCTCTCGATATAGAAGACACGACATCAACAGATTCTGTGGTACATGGATTGAATCTAATAGATTTATAATTATTTAAAATATAAAATAAAATGTTTTCGATGTTACTTACGAATCATCGGTACCCATAACATAAGACAGATTTCGCCACATGTGCAAGAATGCCTCCAAATCTTCTGTTTTTGCAGATGCCATGCCAAAAATTTCGAGATTCACAAGAATTGGACAAAGGAATCCCATGGTAGCCAATCCCAGATCTCTCTGATTGATCATCTTCGTTGATTTGTTGGCTTTAGCATGTTTGGATTGGACAACTTTTAACGATTTCCACACCGTCGAACTTTCAAAATCCTCCTCCATCCATATTAAAAGGTGCTTAACGACTAAGTAATATCTTTTGTAGGCGGTTTTTGGTTTACTCGAATTATTCGTATGTCTTAAAATGAAATTTAATTTAGGGTCGGACAATCCCATTGCTAAACCGACAATGTAATTTAAGCATATAGATGTGAAGTATTCTCTAAAGAAGGATTGTCCTCTGAAACATAATTATTAAATGTATTTTAATTTAATATAATATATATACCTTTTGTATTTAATTGGATCATAGAATGGAGGGAGTTGCCTATGTTCATTAAAACTTATATTTTCACCCTCGGTGATCAGCCTGTTGTAGTATAACTTAGCACTTTGTGAAGTCATGACTGAATAATACTGGCAACCTGATTATTATGTGGTGCTCACTCCAACCCGCGTATATGACGTCACCTACAAGCCCGGTACGGTGCGCCCCACTCCAGCCCGCAGGTGGTATTCCAGGAAGGTCTGATAAGGGCTCTACCTGGATAGGGTATATAAGCGGCAACATATCTGTACCCTCTCTCCTCTTTACTCTCTTCTCTTACCATTTCTTACTTCCTGTCTTCGCTTCCGCATCTCTTGTGTCTTAATAACATGTAAGTTTCTCTGTATTATCTCCTGTGTATTCTCTGTGTTGGCTCTCGAGCCTCGGACTCATTATACTGTAAGAAATCTTTGTAACATTTATATTCGATGTGTATCTATCTATATTGTAACAAGCCATGATTATCACAAATAAACATATATACGAGCATCTCCCAAAATTATATATAATGGTCATATATATATTCAATAATATTATGACGATGATATAATAAATTCTATATTAATATGTAATCTATTATTTTTAAATAGAAATGTGTAATTATTAGTTAATGGCAACAGCAACTTTATCTCTATGGTCAATAGCCCGTTTTAATTATTCATTAATTTTTTATTTCATTCTTTCCTGTAGAAAGAATTATGTAATTTATAGTTGTCAATAAATAATGGTATTTTTGTTATTTCGATTTAAGAATATTTGCATTTAATGATTTCATGTCCATTAAATAGGACATTTTTAAATTCATTTACATTATTTATTATAATTTCACACGTAAATAGAATAATTAGTATTTCACAGAATGCGTAACGTCCCGAACTTGGAAAATATTAATTAAAAAAATAGGGCGGAAAGACCTCGATTGATAGCATGTTATGTATAACCGTTATTGTTTATATTTTGGAGAAGTTCATTTATATGGATAGGAGAGGAATGTTCGTAGAGTAGGAACATTTACTTCCACAATGGCGGTGTTCACAAGTATGTTTATTCGGATAAGTAACGGTACACAGAGAGAGATACAGGATACAAAAGGGTACTTACAAGACATGATACGATAACGCGGCGCGACACAAGAGTAGCGGAAGCGAAGACAGGAAGTAAGAGAAGATAGAGCGGGTTCAGATTTGTTGCCGCTTATATACCCTAGCCAGGTAGAGTCCATATCGGACCTTCCTGGAATACCAGCTGCGGGCTGGAGTGGAGCGCACCGTACCGGGCTTGTAGGTGACGTCATATAAGCGGGCTGGAGTGAGCACCACAGTACCCCCTTGCTAGTGATTTGATCCGTGGAGAGAATGAATTCGGAAGCGTCGTCGAATTGTACTCCGGATGATGCCTAGCTTGTCGAGAGGTAAGGGTCACCAGCTGAAACGCTTGATTTCGGTGCACAGAATGAGTCATATGTTGAAGGATGTCCAGGGGATTCGTCGCTGCTGGACAGTCACATCGGCACGTCTTAATGCCGTGATGGAGTTCTACATTGGTACGGTTGAGGCGGAGAAGGTTGTTGTGTTCCAGTTGTCCAGGGGATTTGCCGCTGCTGGACAGTTACATCGGCACGTCGTAATGCCGTGATGGAGTTCTCCGCAGGAGCAGGGTATGATCCATATGGAGTCGTACCGTGCTAATCGTCTTATCGCTTGTTGATCCAGTTTGTCTATGTTGTTGTTTCAGTTGTCCAGATGTTGTTGTTTTGCTTGTGAAGATGTTGTCGAAAGTCTTGTGGATGGTGTGTTGCCATGTCGTAACAACTTGAGCGTTCTCCATTTTGTTTTAGAAGACGATCACGTCGTATATATGTTTATTGGAGTTAATCATGGCTTGTTACAATATAGTGTGATACAGGATACATATGTTACAAAGGTTTCTTACAGTATAATGAGTCCGAGGCTCGAGTGCCAACACAGAGAATACACATAAAGAGAAACTTACATGTTATTAAGACAAGTAAGAGAAGAGAGAGCGGGTACAGATTTGTCGCCGCTTATATACCCTAACCAGGTCCTTATCAGACCTTCCTGGAATATCTTCATTCCTTAAAAACTCCACAACAACATAACTACAAGATATTCCACAGTGTCCAGAGATATTTGAATCCCGGGAAACGACAAGCATTTTGGTGTTATTTAGAACGAATAAATTTTATTTTATCTGTTGAGTATGTGCATTGTATGTGAAAGTTAAAATTACGCAGTAATAATTGGCTCACGACTGTATAATGGTCACTTCCTAGTGTTGCTTGTGAAATTAGGTGATACTATGAACATATCCAGTATGTTTGGGTGCTAGATATGTTGGTCGCAAATGATTAGTTAACACTAATCCGTGCTCGACCGTGAATTCCGTAAATATTTCCCATAAAAATTGTTATTTGAGTTTGTTTGGGTAGTGAGTACTCCGCTAGGAGTTTCAGGGAGTACCTATTCTCATGTGTCATTCAGACATTTGGCAGAATATACGGGGGTAGTCCCAGAAGTAGCTAACCTAATAAAGAAAACAAAAAAATTGAAAAATATCTTTATATCTCAATATATGTATATGCATCAAGTAATGCAGTGATCGGCGGTTCGAACCCATCCAAGCGAACCTAGGGAGCCCTTTGTGAGCTCCCTAGGTGCCTGCAGCAATAGAGCCATCGTCATCATAAATGGACATTAAAATGAATGAGGGCAATATGGATCCAGCCAAGTAATGGTAAAATAATGGTAAAAACTTCCTTTGGAAAGAGTTTTCTAGAATAGAATCTAGCTCAGCTTTGATATTAGTTCTACTGAGACCTTTCAAATGAAAGTATTGTATCACATAACGATGACCAAATTTTTCCATATTTACAAATTCACTGACATCGTTTATTATTGATGGTTGTCAAACAAATATTAAACAACGTATTGTCTTCAATATTTAGCTCAATATCCTTAAACAAAAACTGCCATCTATACGTGAGGTCGGGTACTTATGGGACTGCCCTCATATGTCACGACGATAATTATTTTGTGTATTTGGACTAGGGGGACCAAAGTGAATACGGTTTTTTGAAGACAGTTGTTACGATCCACAATTTAACGCTCTCTTAGCGGATATTTCGGAATCAATTGGAACCGTTCGGACTTTTTCAATTGCATTCGATTATTCGACTTTGGTACCTGGGGATAGTCATACATGACAATTGTTAGAATAATGTGGTCTTTTGCAGAGGGACCAAGCGTAAACATTCCCATCGATACTCCTATACCTTTATGCAGAATTCAAGTCCTTATTATAAACACATAAAGATCGTTACATGTACAATCGTAATCGATCATCTTTTTCATATAAACAAATGCATAGGAATTTGTCCCGGTCTTATAATAAACAAAACCACCGAGGCCGATTCCCGTGGGAACGCTTGGTCATCAATATAAATAAACCCTAATCCCGATCACAACTCCCACCCCGTATTAATAAGAATTAACTTTGTAAGTAATATAAGTATTTTAGAACTAGTCTCAGTAAAACCCTCAAAGACTGACATAGTCTCAGTAAAATGTTTATATGATGAGCATAGTCTCAGTAAAACCTTCAAACACAAGGACCCCAAGAGTACCAACTATAATAAACTTGTTTTAAACCAATTGAATTATTTAATTCCTAACTACTGAGACTCCACAACAACAACACCAGACAATATTCCACTGTGTCCAGAATTACATCCCTAGGACACGACAATAGATATCTGGTACATCATGTTAATTGGCTGTAGAAGCTTTATATGCACCTGATTGTGCATCACTTAATACTGATGTTACCCATAAATTTATGAATAGCAAAATTGTCTGCGCATAATACTACTCTAATGAGAGTTTAACAATCAGAATTAATTTTACGTATTTTAGATTGACGCATAAACTTTTCATATTCTGTCCAATTTTTGCACAACTTTATTTAGTTTAGAATTAATCTGACTTTACTAAAACTATTGTTTGAAGATGGTATAGCTGTTGCTGAAATAACGAAAATTCGATCTGGATTTGAATATTTAAATGTGCGTTTTACCAGAATTTTTAAGGTTTCGTATTTCCTATATGTTAATATTTCTTTTTGTTAATTTATTCAACTTTTATTAAAATACAAAAATTATCAATTTATAAAAAATAGTCGTATCGCACACTGTCGAACGAGAGCGGTCGTATTTGTGAGGAGTTGGTGACAAGACTTCGGCGTGTTCAGGTCATAATACGGTGTACCCCTGATATGGACAGATAGGACATTACGCCACAGTCGACGTACCAGCCGGCGACGAAAGGGGGAAGACTCGCTGTGAAAAACAAAAACAATGCAGATAAGACGAGTTATATGGGTCGAAGAGCGAGTCAAACGCAACTCAAAAATTCAAAATGCCACACTCATTGGATGCGAGGGAGAATACAAATAAAACAGAAACGACCATTTTAATTAAAAAACAGGTACCAAGTCCTGAGTAGCGAAAATTTGAATGCAGAGAGTGCGAATGATAACCACCACCAAAAATAAATAAAATAAAGCCTCCGCCTTTGATCCTGAGTATAACGTATATCAGTGATTCCCAAAGTGGTCTATATCGATCCCCAGGGGTCGATGACAGCCTGCAAGGGGTCTACGTCAGCGAAAAAAAAAATTGGGGGTCCATGAAATAAAAATGGGGGTCTACGATAGTGGATCTTAACATACACTCATAGTACCTATTCACTTACATTATACTATCTTATAATATAAAGACATATACATTATTTATAAAAGTACCTATGAAGTAAAAAAAATATTATATATGTTTATAAAATACATACAATACATTTTGAAGTTGTAAAAACCTGGACAGCTTCAAAACAATCCTCGCGAACACACCATTCACACATGAAAAAGTAAAACAAATGCGAATGTGAGACAAATACGTTTATTCGTTTCCTGAATCTTGAAAACGAAAGTGCTAAGAAAATATCACACTAATTATAGTGAATCAGTGTTATTTTGTTTGAGAGTGCCGGAGAAAAGTAAGTATATT